TTTTTAGCCTATATCTACAATGCTGCAATGAATGTGTTTCCTGCATGTGAAAAATGGGGATAAAACACCTACCTCATAGGGTTTGCATGAAGATTAAAGGAGTTAAATTAAAAGAAAACACAACAAGGACTTAGCATAGTACTTAATGCACAGTAATTACTTAGTAAACCAACAGTAGCTTTTGTTAAGACCAAAGCTGTTTGCTTCTGAATTATTTCCCTAGGATAAATCCTGGGGTTGAGATCACTAGATAAAATGAACTGAACTTTTTCACTTTAAAAAATATATACAGGGGCGCCTGGGTGGCTCAGTTGGTTAAGCGTCCGACTGCGGCTCAGGTCATGATCTCGCGGTCTGTGAGTTCAAGCCCCACGTCGGGCTCTGTGCTGACAGCTCAGAGCCTGGAGCCTGTTTCAGATTCTGTGTCTCCCTCTCTCTCTGGCCCTCCCCCGTTCATGCTCTGTCTCAAAAATAAATAAACATTAAAAAAAAAAAAGAAAAAAGAAAAAATATACACTGTATAAAAAATATATACGGTTTTTATTTTTTATTTTTTTAGAGAACGCAAGAGAGGGGGGAGAGGAGCAGAGAGAGAGAACAAGAGAATCTTAAGCAGTCTCCATGTTTAGCGCAGGGCCTGACCTGGGCTCTTCGGTTTGATCACATGACCCTGAAACCATGACCTGAGCCAAAATCAAGAATCAGAAGCTCTACCAACTGAGCCACCGAGATGCCCCAGAACTTTTTTACTTTTTAAGATTTCCTATTAAATAGTACTTTATTTGCTTAAAATTTAAGTGGTGTCAAATTAATGAGAAATGTAATGTGGCAAAAAATACTGTCACTACTTCTGTTAAATTTCTTTATATGTTTGGATGGCTTTAGAATCCCAACAATAAAATAAATTTAGGTAGGGGTGCCTGGGTGGCTCAGTCAGTTGAGTCTCTGACTTCGGTTCAGGTCATGTCACAGTTCATGGGTTCAAGCCCCACATCAGGCTTTGCTCTGACAGTGCTCTGGATTCTCTGTCTCCTTCTTTCTCTGCCCCTCCCTGACTTGCACACATGTACATGCATGCACACTTTCTCAAAAATAAAAACATTAAAAAAATAAAAATAGGGGCGCCTGGGTGGCTCAGTCGGTTGAGCGTCTGACTTTGGCTCAGGTCATGATCTCGCGGTTTGTGAGTTCGAGTCCCGTGCTGGGCTCTGTGCTGACAGCTCAGAGCTTGGAGCCTGCTTCAGATTGTCTCTCTCTCTCTGCCCCTCCCGCATTCACACTCTGTCTCTCTCTCTCCTTCAAAAATAAACATTAAAAAAAATAAAAATAAAAAAATAAATTGAAGTAGTTTTAAAATAAGTCCCAAGCTATTTTTAGGATTGCTGATAAATAAAGCCATGCTGTTTTCCAAAAGCCTTGCATCAATTGTAAGCACTACAATGGTGTACCATTTTAATCTAGCCTTGCCAGCAGTGCTATCAATCTTTCCCCTGCTAGTCTAGTAGACATAAAACCCCAAGTTTGCTTTCAGTTTAAATCCATTTTTAAAAAAATAATTACTATGGACAAGCATTTTTTTAAACCTGTGATTAATTCTACAGCTGTGTTTTTGAATAGCTGTTTAAAAGACAATCCTGAGGGGGGGTTAAGCGTCTGGATTTTGGCTCAGGTCATGATCTCTTGGTCTGTGAGACTGAGCCCCCTGTTGGACTCTATACTCACAGCACAGAGCCTCCTTGGATTCTTTCTCCCTTTCTCTCTGCCCCTCCCCCACTTGCACTCCTCCCCTCTCTCCAAATAAACATTAAAAAAATATGGTACATATAAAAAAAGACATGAGACATTTTTGTTTTGTAATAAATAAGGCGGTGGCCAATTACTACTCCTTAGTAGCTCTTTTTTTGAGATAAGCTATCAAGTCTGTCCTTTTCTCTGTCTTCTTAATGTCAGTGAAGATCATTTTTGTTCCAGGGATGTACTTTCTGGGATTATCTAAATACTCTATCAGTGTCACCTCTCCCCAGGGGTTCTTTGTTCTTGTTGGCATCTGTGTAAGAAAATCCAGGGGCCTGACCTATCTTGCACACACTGGACCATGGAGATCTGGCTCAGTCTTGTGTTTGCCTTGCCTCTCGTTTCGACAGTATGGCACGGGGCATTCTTTTGGACAAAAATCTTGCCTTTCTCAACGTCACCCATTTTTAAATTGCTTTCTTCACATGGAGACTGAAGATGCCCACTGGCAAGCCGGATGTCCCGCTCTCTGATATGCAAACATTTTTGATGTGTTTAGTTTTTATTGCATTGTCAGGAAGTCTGTGTTCACATCCTTCATCAGCTTATATACTAGTTTTTCTTTTAAAATTGAATGAGCTCTTTGGTTGATTCAATTCCACCAAACGTTGGTTTACTTTTTAAGCTATTTGACTTATAACTCATAAATCAGTTTTCAATTAGTTTTGGTAAAAGATGTGGCTGTCATCATCATGCACAAATTGTTATCCAAGTATACCAGCATCATGATGAAATATTTTTTGCTTGACATATTTGTTACTAAAATTTCAGTTTTTAAACTTTAACTTTTAAAAGGAGTGAAGTTTATTAAGTTTTTTTTAAGTTTATTTTGAGAGAGACAGAAAGAGAGTGCAAGCAGGGGAGGGACAGAGAGCAAGGGGGACAGAGGATCTGAAGCAGGTTCTATGCTGACAGCTGAGAGCCTGATATGGGTATCAAACTCACGAACCATGAGATCATGACCTGAGCCAAAGTGAGAGGCTTAACCAACTGGGCCACCCAGGCGCCCCAAGTTTTTTTTGTTAAATCAGTGGGGGGTGAACCTTTTAGTTTGAGAGTTTTCTATTTCTATAGTCTGAATACAGGTAGCCTTTGTTTTTTGGAACTGAAGTACAAAACAAATTTAGTAAATCTAACAATGGAAAGACCACTGGATTAAATGTGAAGAGACTTGCATTCTAGACTTAAATCTGCCTCAAACTTGATTCGCTAGGGAGAACTAGTCCTTTAACCTTCCTCTGATGAGTTTTTCCATCTGTTTTATCTTTACATTGCTCAAAACCCTCCAGTAATTACCCAGCTAAGGGTGAAGGCAATGTGTCCCTGAAAGCATCTTCAAGGGGCGCCTGGGTGGCTCAGTCGATTAAGCGACCGACTTCGGCTCAGGTCATGATCTCACGGTTTGTGAGTTTGAGCCCTGCGTCGGGCTCTGTGGTGGCAGCTCGGAGCCTGCTTTGGATCCTGTGTCTCCCTCTCTCTCAACCCCACCCCCGCTCACACTTTGTCTCTGTCTCTCTCAAAATTAAATAAACATTAAAAAAAAAATAATAAAAAAAAGTACCTTCAGGGTCGGGGTATCTGGGTGGCTCAGTCAGTTAAGTGTCCAACTCTTGATATCAGCTTAGGTCGTGATCTCGGGGTTTGTGGGTTTGAGCCCCACATAAAGTTCTATGCTGACATCTCAGAGCCTGGATGGAACCTGCTTTGGTTTCTGTGTCTCCCTCTCTCTCTCTGCCCCTCCCCTGCTCCTGCTGTCTCTCAAAAATGAACAAAAATTAAAAGTATCTTCAGGGTCTAACAGGAATCCTTTCCCAAATTCCTTATTATTCTCCCAGAGCTCACTGAGCTCCAGGCACACTGGTCTTGAAAACACCAAACTGGGGCGCCTGGGTGGCGCAGTCGGTTAAGCGACCGACTTCAGCCAGGTCACGACCTCGCGGTCCGTGAGTTCGAGCCCCGCGTCGGGCTCTGGGCTGATGGCTCAGAGCCTGGAGCCTGTTTCCGATTCTGTGTCTCCCTCTCTCTCGGCCCCTCCCCCGTTCATGCAGTGTCTCTCTCTGTCCCAAAAATAAATAAACGTTGGAAAAAATTTTTTTTTAAAAAAGAAAACACCAAACTGCCTTTTCTTCACATATCCACAGTACTTTGCCATTCACCTCCTCCAAGTCCTCACTGAAATGTCATTTTCTGAGACCCTCTCTGTAATGGAACCAATCTTTTCCTGCCCCCCCTTCCCTGTACAGCCCTTATTAAATTTGCTTTCTGTTTCTCTCCTCTACCTGAACGTTAAGTCCTCAAAGCTATATCCACAGAACCTAAGAACAATGCCTGACACATAGTGGGCACTCAGTAAATACTGTTGAATGAATAACTTAATCTGTAAAAGGAGGTTATCTCGGCTGATAGATCATTCATTCATCAGTAAGGCGAAGCTGTGTGCCTCCTCTTGACTGTATGCTAAGTAAGTGCCCAGACCCTGGCACTATCTGTCCGCGGGAAGGCCAGCGCTCTGCTCCCGGCGGCTACTCACTTTGGAGGAGACTGCGGCGGCGGCGGCGGTCTCTGGGTCTCCTTCCTCGTGGACTAGGTCGAACAGCTGGAAGCTTCCGTCCTCGGTGGCTTCTGGGTTTCCCGGCACGTCTTCGGACTCTAGGCTACCCGACAGAATTCCTGAGGATCGGCGGCTAGAAATCACCCTGTAGCGGCCCTCCTGTCGGATCTCCCGAGCTGAAGCGCGGAGTTCTCGGCGGATACGCTGCTGGCTGCCCCGGGAAGGGCGCAGGGCGGCTCGAACGAGCTCCTGGACTGGCTCCTCCTGGGAGGTGGTAGGGAAGAGCAGCCGGGGTAAGCAGGCGGCTCGTCAAGGGGTCAGGGATACAATTTCCCCCCATTTGCGCCCTAAGATCCCCTTCAGACATCGGCTCCATCCCGCCCAATACCTGGGAGCGCACGGTGGCCACCAACTGGAAGACATTATTCTCTGGCCCTCTCTCCACATCCTCTGGAGGTGTCTTTTGAGCTACCGACTCGACGCCGCCCCTCCGCAGGCGCTTACAAGAGAGGACAAGAGCTTCGACAGCCTCTGCGCTACGCTTCCGCTTCACGCGAAGCACTGCAGTCCTCCCGGCCTCCATACTGGCTGTCGCGGAGGACTCTGGGAACCCGGGGGGGGGGGGGTGGTACGACGGGAGAGACTTTAAGTTCCGCTTCCGGGCCTCGCTCCCAGCATTCTCAGCGGGCCCTGAGAGATCCCGCCCCCGTACGCCGGCTTCGGCGTGGTGGAGGTAGCGGCGGAAGTGAACGGAGCGGTTCCCGCTGCGGGTGAGGCGCAAGGGTAGGTAGGGAAGGTGGGGTTGCACTTAAGAGTCCCCGGTGCCGCCATCATCCGGCCGTCAGCCCAGCGGCTCTGGCCGGCGGACCTGATGTGGGCTTTCTAGGCCACCGGGGTATGCGTCTCTCGAGGACCTTTCTAGAGTCTGCACTGGGCGGCGGTGGGGAGAACCTGGGCCGGCAAGAAAACTGGGATACGGTTGGGCCCCGACTCTGTAGGGTGACCTTTACGGGGACCTGGATTTTAGTACTTGGCGTCTCCCTTCAGCTACAGAAATTCGAACCGCAGTCATATGGAGCTCCAGCCATCACATCCTTAATTGACCCACGCTTCTCTGATTCGGGGAACTGTTGATGGGCTCGCTTTTCCCAGTTACTGTGTTCTGAGTAGTTGGAAACCAGTCCATTCACCACACGCTAGTCAGAAGGGTCTTGTAAAAGCGTACATCTGACGCGGACGTTTTTGTGCTTAAGACCTTGAGTGGTTTCCAGCGAGTGAGAACAATATCCAAACGCGTTTCCGAAGCCGGCATGGTCCAGTGTGATTTACAGTAGCCCACGCTTAATCTATCATTCTCAATACTTTTGCTGGAAGTTCTTCAGTCATTCAGGCTTTTGTCAGTCTTGGTTATATACACAGGTCTTTTTTCCCTTAGGACTTTTTCTTGGAAAAGTAGGGGTAAGGTTTCCAGAAACATAAGCACTACTTTTCTCTCTTACCTTGTGGTATCTTAATTGCCACCTTCCTCAGAGAGTCTAACAATTAACCTTGTTAATTCTCTTTCATAGCACCCTGTCTGTTTCCTTTCTTGCACTCACATAGTTTGTGATTGTATATTTAGTCTCTCCCTTATTAGAATCTAATCCCTTGGAGGATAAAGATCTCCTTTATTTTACTTATGGGAGTTCTCCAGTCCCTAACGCAGTGTCTGATATTGTATAAATTTTACTAAAACTTGAATGAATGAAGCAGCTATCTGCTCTGAAATCTGATTGGTAATCCATTTAGGGCTTGGCATGGTGGTTTCCATTCCAGCCTTATAAACTATCATGTGAGTTCACAGGTCTTTTGAATGAGGAGGGGGTCAAAATAGCTCCTGAGTCTGGAGTGTGAGGTCCTTTTGGGAGAGGACAAGTCATAATAATAAAAGGGATTTATCCATAGGAGATGTGTAGTACTCAAAGAGGTTACAGGATATGGTTCCCATCTGCAAGCTTTATTTAAACTTCTATGAAACTAGTAACTTCTCTAAGTTATGAAAAAACTATAGTCCTATTTATAGCCTAAGCAACAGCACAGACAAAAAGGAAATTCCATAGATTAGAGTTCTGTATTACACTCTTAACCTTTAAATAACTTCAGAATTGATCTCACATGGCCCACAGGATAAGGGTTTTAGGACTCTGCACAGTATGTACCTCACTGATATGTTTGACCTCTTGTTCAGTTTCACTTCAGTTAAACTGGTTTATTAACTGTACATGACTAAGTCTTTCTGATCTGGTGAAGTGCCCTCTCCCTCCCATGCCCATCTAAATCCTAGCCATCTTTTAAGCCTTCCCTGAACATTCAGCCAGATATGGTTATTTCTTTCTACTGTGGCATTTTTTGGACACACTTCTTTAAAGCACATTACAGATTCTGATAGTTGGAGATACTCTTTAAAAAAATTAACATAGGAGAGGTTCACAGCTGATTGTGGCAAAACTTTTTAACCTGTGGGTTGCAACTCAGTTAAATTGTGAAATCGGGCACCTAGGTGGCTCATTTGGTTAGGCTTAGCTAAGTCATGATCTCACGGTTCGTGCATTCAAGCCCTGCATCAGGCTGTGTGCTGACAGTGCAGAGCTTGCTTTAGATCCTCTGCCTCCCTCTCTCTCTGCCTCTCAAAAATAAATAAACATTGAAAAATGCTTCTCAAAGTAAAAAGTAAAATAAACATTGAAAAAGTTGTGAAATCAGTTTAGTGGATCATGATTAATTTAAAAAGAAAAATCAGGGCGCCTGGGTGGCTCAGTAGGTTGAGCACCTGACTGTTGATTTCAGCTCAGGTCATGAGTTTGAGCCCTGCATCGGGCTCTGCACTGACAGTGCAGAGCCTGCTTTGGATCCTCTGTCTCTGCCCCTTCCCCACACATGTGTTCTCTGTCTCTCTCAAATAAGTAAACTTAAAAAAAAAAAGAAAAAAAAATACAGTAGAATGTATCAAAGGGCTTTGCCCATAGGAAGGCTAAACACTAGTGAAAGTTTGTATGTACGCATGTGTGTTGTGTCTTTATGTAAAGTATATTTCTTTCTGGTGTTGCCAGAAAGTTTGGGAGCCACTAGAAGAGAGGATGAGTAATACTGAGATTTTAGAAGTAGAGTTTCACTGAAGGACAAATTGACTACTTTGAACCAGACCACTGACTGCCTGAGTCTTTTAAGAAAAGATTTTTCCCCATCTTTTATGAGAATTAAGTGTTTAGTCTAAATAACTTTGAGAGAAAGGCAATAACTCTGGTCAGTAAAATGCCTCAGGGATGTTTAGGGACCTATGGAGTAGGCATTTTTTCTAAGGTTTCCTGAAGATAGATCAGTATTTAACAAGAAATGAAGGGGAGTATAGAACACTTGAGGTTTTCCGAAGGTAGGTCGGAGGGTGCTGGTAGAGCCCATACCTGCTGACAGGTGCCTTCAGACTTTGAGCTGTGGTGTTTCTCTGTCAGAAATAGATCTCTGCAGAAATAGGGCATACAAGATGAATCTGGAGAATTTGAAGGATTTTTTAAGATGAAGAATTTTTTTAAATTTTATTTATTTAATCTGCACCCAATGTGGAGCTTGAGCTCACAACCCCAAGATCAAGAGTTGCACACTCTTCCAACTGAGCCAGCCAGACATCTCTCGATGAAGAATTTTTAAAAATTACTTTTAAAATCAAATATTGAGTAGGTAACAGGTAATCATTATTAAAAATTGTAAGTCATAAAGAAGGACAGTATCATGAACATCTTTCTTCCCACCACCCAGTTTTATTTATTTTTTAATGTGTATTTTTGAGAGAGAGGGAGGGAAGGAGCCTTTGCAAGTTGGGGAGGGACATAGGGGAACAGAGGATTCAAAGTGGGCTCTCTGCTTTCAGCACAGAATGCAGAGGCTTGAACTTACCTGACCCAAAGTCGGATGCTTAACCGACTGAGCCACCCAGGTGGCACTTCCCCATCCTGTTTAAGAAGAAACAGTACTATTACTTTGAAGCCCCCTGTATGGCCCTCCTTGATCCCAGCCTTTTCCCTTTCCTCTTAGGGGTAACCACTATCCTTATTCCCTGCTATGCTTTTTAGTGTGATCCCTGAAGAATATATTGTTCTTGGGGCGCCTGGGTGGCTCAGTCGGTTGAGCCTCCAACTTCGGCTCAGATCATGATCTCAGGGTCTTTGAGTTCGAGCCCTACATCGGGCTCTGTTCTCACAGCCTGCTTCAGATTGTGTCTCCCTCTCTCTCTGACCCTCCCTCATTCATGCTCTGTCTCTCTCTGTCTCAAAAATAAAAAAAATAAACATTAAAAAAATTAAAAAATATATTCTTGTGTGGCATCATTATAAATGTTATAAAAATGTTATCATTACGTATTCTGTGATTTGCTTATTTATTTATTTTTGGCTCAACATGATATTTTTGGATTGTCCACACTTACAGCTGTGATATATTTGTTTAGATGAAAGTTTTCCTAGTTTGTTTGAATTGCTCTTTGTATTTTTCCTTAAACTAAGTGTTTAAAAACTTTATTTATTTTTGAGAGAGCGAGAGAGAGAGAGCAAGCAAGCAGGGGAGGGGCAGAGAGAGAGAGAAAGAAAATCCCAAGTAGGCTCTGAGCTGTCAGCACAGCCTGATGTGGGGCTTGAACTCACAAACCGTGAGATCATGACCTGAGTCAAAACCAAGAGTCAGATGCTTAACTGACTGAGCCACCCAGGCACTAGTGTTTAAACTGTTTAATATCCTGAGGCAGTATTGGTGGCACTCTTTTCCCACTACCCCAGCCTCTTTGTTTCTTCTTTCTGGTTAACCACCTGTTTCCTTTGCTTTATTTCTCTTCTCATCTGCCTTTACCTTGAGGCTGTGTCGAGTTGCACCTGTGAGGCTCATTTAACCTGAAATCATTGGGGACTGCCAAAGTTTCCAGATAGCTTTATGAATTTATGTTAATTACAGTTTTTTGATGTTACATGCTGAATGTAAAACCAAATAACTTGTGGGAAAGATTAAAATACTAATTTTTTTTTTAAGTTTATTTATTTCGAGAGAGAAGGAGAGAGAGAGAATTCCAAGCAGGCTCCATGCTGTCAGTGCAGAACCCAGCTTAGGCCTTGGACCCATCCACAAACCGGGAGAACGTGACCTGTGCTGAAGTCGAACACTTAACCAACCGAGCCACCCAGGTGCCCCTAAAATACCGATTAACAAATAATTTCATTGGCTTTGATGCTTTTGTTCATTTTATGATTTTTTTCCTTTTTTTTTTGTCTTTAAAATTATTTCCTTCTACATTTTGGGCATTATGATGTGAATAGATTTCTGATGATTAGACCTGTCCACAAGAAGTGAGCTGGCAAGGCTGCTTTTCTGTGGTGAAACTGAGAAGCTGATTGGCGCCATGAAGGTCTTCTGCGGGCGGGCCAATCCAACCACTGGCTCTGTGGAGTGGCTGGAAGAGGATGAGCACTATGATTACCACCAGGAGATTGCAAGGTAACAAGGGCATGTTCACTATTGGTTGCAGCTGGGTGGGGACACTGGCTCTCAAAGTAGGAGCCCTAGATTCCTGTCCGAATGTGGAATAAGCTTTACCCAGTGCTTCTGATCAGGGCAGATGTTGGTCATGAGCAGGTCTGCTCAGCCAGATAGGTTTGTGTGGGAATTAGGCAAAGTCATTTCTGTGTAGAGAGTCAGATATGTAACAGCTTTATCAGGATCTCAGAGGATCTGTCTAGTGGAGCAGAGAGGACCCACCTCAGTAGTACTAGTGATAATTGAAGAGTTTATGAAATTCATTCATTGTGTCACTGAAATGGAGACACATTTATCATATAGCTAAATTCTTTTGAATGGAAAATGTGAAAAATGCATTCATCCCTGACTTGGGAATGGATATTTAAAACTGTTGAGTGCGTTACTATTCTTTAGCAGTCATTAAGTGCGTACAACATACTAGCCCTGTGGTGGAGCTAATGAAGAAGATGGGGTTCCCATCCTCAAGGACCATGCAGTTTTTTGTAAGAGACAGACATGTAACGAATCATGACACAGTGAAGAAAGGCCACTGGACATGGGTGCAAAAGTTCATGGAAGCAGTAAGAACCAGCTGGGCTGGGCTGGGGGGGGGGGCGGGGGCGGTGATATGTGAGTGATTTCCCAAATCCAAAAGGAGGGAAATTGCTTTCTGAGCAGCAGGGATCACGTGTAACAGTTTGGGGGATTGCTAGCAGTTTGAGGTAGCTGGAATGTGGTACAAAAGCAGGGCTCTGGTGAGGGTACCGAAAAGGTAGACAGGATCATATTGTAAAGGGTGGTAGCAAAATGCAGGAAGAGGAGCATGAGGGTTAGTCTGGGCTCTGTCGTGTCTTAACTCTGACATTGGCTAAGCTCCTTAACTTCCTTGAGCCTCAGTATGATAATATAAGTTTCCATACATGTAATAATGTACATTTCCTCACATATAAAGCCTTATTTTAGGGCTCTTTGATGGGTGACAAATACAACGTGTGGTATAGAATAAGGGCTCAAAGATACTACCTTCTTTCAAACGATTTTGAACATCATTTTGTAAGTGATTGAGATGTTAAACTGGGGAGAAAAAAGATTAAGCTGCATTTTGGGACATTTACTGAGAACGGTGTGGAAAGTGGGTTGGAGGGAGTGGAAGCCATTTGGGTGGATATTGCAACCCTACAGGTGAGGCAGTGGAGGTGGGGAGATAGCTTTGAAGGAGCTTGAGTTTTAATAACTCATTGGTTCAGTGGTGGAAGGAGAGAGAAATTCCAGAAGCACCCAAGATTTCTGATTAGAGTGACTAAGTGGATGGAGCTGTGTTCTGTGAGAGGGATGACCACAGGAGGAATGGGTGTTGCTGGAGAGAAGGTGATGGAGATTAGGTATCTGGGTTTCGTCATCCAGGTAGAGATGCAGTGGGCCGATAAACATGGGTCTGGAGCCAGTTTGCAGTTATTAGAATTCAAGATGGAAAAGATGGCAGGCTCTGAGGGAGGGTGTGTGATGAGAAAGGTAGAGGGCTGAAGAAAGAATCTTGGAATAGAGGAGGCAGGAGAACCAGGAGGGAATGTCCAGCAAGTGGAAAAGAAGAAAGTGTTTCAGGAAGAGGGAGTGTCCAACAGAGACAGAAATCCTGGCTGTTAGTGATGGAGTGGGTTGATAGTGCTTAGGCAGAATGATGTCTGTGGAGTGGTGGGGAGAGTGGATGATGAGGCTATGAAGATGGAGACCAGAAATGCCTCTTGGAAGGTAGGGAAAGACAGAACCAGATTTCAACTAAGCATTCCTAGGTGGGTTCACATGTAAAAGCCATGGTGTGCCATTAAAACGAAAAGAATGCTATTCTTCTGGTATAGTGCTCCTCGGCGTTTAGAATATGAGCTGCCTGTGTCACAGTTGTGTGGGGTACCAGTTCAAGTGCGTATTTCCAGACTCCAGCCAGCCCAATTTTCTGGATCAGGATCTGTTTGCATGTATCGTGAGAATCTGCATTAAAAAATTTTTTTTCAGTATTTATTAAAAAAATTTTTTATAATGTTTAATTTTGAGAGAGAGAGAGAGAGAGAGAGGAAGAGAAAGCACGACTGGGGGAGGAGCAGAGAGACAGGAAGACAGAGAATCTGAAGCAGGCTCCAGGTTCTGAACTGTCAACACAGAGCCGGATGTGGGGCTCGAACCCACAGACTGCAAGATGATGACCTGAGCTGAAGTCAGCTGCTTAACTGACTGAGCCACCTAGGCGCCCCTAATTTTTATTGGTTTTTGAGAGAGTGCAAACAAGGGAGGGGCAGAGAAAGAGGGAGACAGAGGATCTGCAGTGGGCTCTGCACTTAGAGCAGCTAGCCCGACTCAGGGCTTGAATTCACAGACAGTGAGATCATGACCTGAGCCAAAGTCAGACTCAGTTCAACTGACTGAGCCATCCAGGTGCCTTGGCAATGTGCACTTAAAATAAGCTCTCCAAGGATCCCTGGCTAGTTCAATCAGTAGAACGTGCAACTCTTGATTTCAGGGTCATGAGTTTAAGCCTCATGTTGGGCATGGAGTCTATTTAAAACAAACAAAAACAAAAAACAGGTCTCCAGTGATTCTGTTGTTGATCTGAAGCTGGAGGTCCTCTGTTTAGTGAAACACCTTAGCTCTCACCTGCATCTCTCAGAAAGCATCTTTGGGTTGGGCCTGCTGAGTTCTGGGCGCTTATCCTGACCCTGCCAGAGATTTTTCAAGTTTGTGAATTAATGGAAAGTGCAGGGCATGATACCCCTCACTTATACAGCAGGTACATACTTTCCCTGATTCGTCTCTGCAGTGTTGAATCTGTGATTATCGTAATGTGCAAATGTATGCAAGATTATGTAAAGTATTAGACAAATTGAGTCTGAGTTCTGGAGAGAAAAAAAAATGTGTGACATATAACATGATCAGCATGCTGGTGGCTGTGACAGGGCTAACTCCCAGACCATTTTTAGCTGTGAGGTTCTTTGCTGAAAGTAAACATCTTTAAGATTTTTTTTTCCTGCAATACTAGAGAATTTTAGCTTATAACTCTACTAAAATAGTTTAAAATGGGCCTGGGTTAGAGATGAAAAGTACAGCAGAGGGAACATTGTTACAATGTTGTATGGTGACTCCACTTAACATATTGAACATTGAGTATAGAATTGTGAATCAATATGTTGTACTCCTGAAACTAACGTAACATTGCATGTCAATTATAGTTCAGTAATAAATAAAAAATAAAATGGGCCTGGATGTTTTTCCATTTGACTTAGGAATGCATTTATATATGTGAATGCTCTCATATGTTAATGGATATCATTAATAGAGGTTTCTGACCTTTTGTTTCTTTTTAGATCCTCCTATGCTGATATGTTACATGACAAAGACAGAGTAAGTGTAAAAGGAAACCATTATTTTGCTGTGGTGTTGAAACCTTTAGTTAGTTACAAGATCAAAAATTTCCTCCAGAGACATGATGTTAGAATAATGTACAGAGGCAGTATGGTGTAACGAGTGGTCAGGAAATCAGTTGGGAGGCCTTGTCCTACTTCCAGCTCTGCTGTTCACTTGAGTGTGGCCTTGGAGAAAACATGGGACCTCTGCAGATCTTGTTTATTAGGATTTAAAAGGAGTGGGATATACTAGCTGATCTCCATAATCTCCTCTAGATACAGATTCTCTAATTACACAGTTTTACCTCGTGTAGTACGTTTGTAATTTTAAAATCATATCTCTAGAGGCCACTGCAGACTGTTTTGTAAAAGCATATTTGACTTCTGTTGCACCGTGACATTTCATTCAGCTTTTTGTTTGTTTGTTTGTTTCTTTTGTTTCATCTGAGTTTTCTTTTCCTGTTTGAATTATGTTACAGTTCTGGTGTTACGATGGTTAGCAATGCAAGCTTTCCTGGTCTACCAGAGTGCTTGACTGGTCATTCTCATCTGGATGGCTCAGAAATGCAGAGGCTTGAAGGCAAAGGATTCAGGGCCAAGCTTAAGAGCTAAGCAGTGTAGGGTAAGAGAAAGATCAGGGCACATGGTCAGGTTGGTCATGAGGCTTTGTTGTTGGTGTCTACTTCATCCAGCCCTGGTTAACTGCTCAGTATGCATACTTCTTGGCAACATCATGACATAACAGTCTCCTTGAGCATCATTAGTGTGTAGAATACACCAAAAGGGGCTAGGTGCTTCCCTGTTTTTTATCAAATAGCTGAGTGCCTTTGCCGAGCTATTGGGGAATTATAGGATGTGGACAGACATTGCTTCTGGATCTAATTCTCTCTAGCTTAGTGGTCTTGGCTTCTTACTGGTTTCTTGAGCTTGTGAGCCTCTCTGATTTTAGTATCATCTGCAAAGATGATCCTTTTTGGCTCAAATTCCAGGGGATTTGAACAAATGGCATTGCCATTCATTCAGTCAGCCAGGCAGAAAAATGGCACCCTTTTCCTCATCTGAGCACATAGTCTGTCATCAAATTGTGTGAATCTTTCAACCCTACTGCCTGCTCAGGCCTCATTTACTAGTGTTGACCTCTCTTCCTTTCTTTACATAGCAGCCCAAGGGGTCTTTCTGAAATGCCAATCTATGTTATTCTTCTGCTTAAAACCCTCACAACCCTGTTTAGCACCATCCTCGGTGTCCTCTCGCTGTTGTCAAGTTAAAATCCAAACTCGTTTGAGGAATGTTCCTACCTCTTCATTAATTAACCCCCCCCTTTTATTTTTTTTTTAATTTTTTTTTTTCAACGTTTATTTATTTTTTGGGACAGAGAGAGACAGAGCATGAATGGGGGAGGGGCAGAGAGAGAGGGAGACACAGAACCAGAAACAGGCTCCAGGCTCTGAGCCATCAGCCCAGAGCCTGATGCGGGGCTCGAACTCACGGACCGTGAGATCGTGACCTGGCTGAAGTCGGATGCTCAACCGACTGCGCCACCCAGGCGCCCCAACCCCCCCCCCTTTTAAAAAATATTTTTGAGAGAGACAGAGTGAGCTGGGGAGGCACAGAGAGAGAGGGTAACACAGAATCCGAAGCAAGCTCCAGGCTCTGAGCTGTCAGCACAGAGCCTGACACGGGGCTCAAACCCATGAACTGTGAGACTGTGACCTGAGCCGAAGTCAGGTGCTTCACCAACTGAGCCAGCCAGGCATCCCCCTTTTCTTCTCTTTTTATATTGAGTCCCATGTTTCCTGGTTCCCCTGTGTTCCTCTGTGGTTCACCCTCTCTTTTTGGTGAAGCACATTCTTCCTTAGTGTCCTATGAGAGGGTGCATGGGAGGTGAGAGTTTAAAAACTTTGCTAATCTGAAAACTTCTTTATTCTGTCCTTACAGTTAAGACTTAGGCTGAATTGGATTCTGATTGGGAAATCACTTTTTGTCAGAATTTTGACATTATCCATTTTCTTTTATTTATTATTTTAATGTTTATTTTTGAGAGAGCGAGTGTGAGCATGGGAGGCAGAGGGGACAGAGGATCTGAAGTGGGCTCTGTGCTGACACCAGAGAGCCTGATGTGGGGCTCAAACTCAAAAACTGCAAGATCATGACCTGAGCTGAAGTCGGACGCTTAACCAACTGAGTCACCCAGGTGTCCCTAAAGATTTTAAGTAATTTGTATACCCAACCTGGGGCTTGAACCCACAACCCCAAGATCAAGAGTCACATGTTCCACCAACTGAGCCAGCCAGGCACCCCCTATTCATTATTTATTTATTTAAATCTTTATTTATTTTTGAGAGATAGAGAGACAGCGTGAGCAGGGGAGGAACAGAGAGAGAAGGAGACACAGAATCCAAAGCAGGCTCCAGGTTCTGAGCTGTCAGCACAGAGCCCGACGCAGGACTCGAGCCCATGAACTGCAAGATAGTGACCTGAGCTGAAGTCAGACACTCAACCGACTGAGCCACCCAGGCGCCCCACTATTCATTTTCTTTTAGAGTTCAGTGCTGCTATTTTAAGATTTATTACCATTCTTACTCTATAAAAAACTTTTTTGTGACAGACATAGAGAAGAGTATAAAATGTGTGTGTATAGTTTAAAAAAGAATAGTAAATGTTCATAGACTTACCACTCACCTTGGAAATAGAACATTACAGTTACTTACAATTCCCCTGTGTACTCCTAGATTGCATTCCTTTTTCTCCCCCTAGAAGTTTCCACTGTCTTGAATTTTATATCAGTCACTCCCTTACTTTTCTTTATAGTTTTACCATCTGTTGTATTAAAAAAGTAAATTCCTAGTTTTGCCTGTTTGTGAACTTTACATAATGGAGTCATACTGTTTAATCTTTATGACTTTCTTCTTTGCTCACCATTATTTTTGAGATTCATCCATTTTTCATGAGGCTGTAGTTCATGCATTTTCATGATGTATAGATTCCATTGTATAAATATATCCTCGCTTACCTGTTATTCTGTTGGTAGACCTTGGGGTTATTTCTAACTTGTTGCCATTGTACATAGTGCTCCTAGAATATTCTAGGACCTGTACTCTGGGACACTTTTCTCTAGGTTGGTATATCTAAGAATGGAGTTGCTGCCCGTTGAGTTTGTTCAACTTTATGAGGTAATGTCAGATTGTCTCCCAAAGGATCATGCCATTTTACATTCTCATACTTGTGTATGATAGTTCTTCTTGTTTCATGTCCTTGCCATTATTTGGTATTAACCAATTTACATTCTTGACTGTCTGATAGGTATGATTCAGCCTGTCATTGTCAGTTTTAATTCGCATTCCTCTGGTTACTACTGAGTATGAACTCTTTTTGTTCATTGGCTTTTCGTGTTTCCTCTTTTTTTTTTCTTTTTTTTGAGAGAGAGCATAAGCACGGGAGGGCAGAGAGTTAGGGAGACACAGAATCCACAGCAGGCTCTAGGCTTTGAGCTGTTAGCACTGAGTGGACATGGGGCTTGAACGCACGAACTGCGAGATCATGACCTGACTTGAAGTCGGATGCTTAACTGAGCCACCCAGGTGCCCTTCATGTTTCTTCTTTTAGTACTTAGTTATTTATAAGAGTTCTTTATGTATTTTGGGTACTGACCATTTGTCAGTTACATGTATTGTAGGTGTCTTACTTTATGGGTTGTTTTTTCATCTGATAAATGCAAGTTCTTAAATTTAATGTCAGGATTTATTTTTTAATCTTTGTTGGCTGGTACTTTTTGTCTCTTGTTTAAGAAATCCTTCCCTTTGCCAAGGTTTTTTTTTTTTTTTTTTAAGTTTATTTATTTATTTTGAGAGAGAGAAAGCACGGGCAAGGAGGGGCAGAGAGGAGAGACAGAACCCCAAAGCAGGCTCTGCGCCATCAGTGCACAACCTGATGTGGGGCTCGAACTGTTGAACTGTGAGATCATGACCTGAGCTAAGGTCAAGAGTCCCACACTTGATCCAGGTGCTGCCCCTTTGCCAAGGTTTTTTCTTAATTTTTTCTTAAATTTTTTTTTTTTAACATTTATTTATTTTTGAGAGACAGAGTGAGACAGAGCATGAGTGGGGGAGGGGCAGAGAGCGAGGGGGACAGAGGATCTGAAGCAGGCTCCAGGCTCTGAGCTGTCAGCACAGAGCCTGATGCAGGGCTCAAAATCACGGACCACGAAATCATGACCTGAGCCAAAGTCAGGTGCTTAACCGACTGAGCCATCCAGGCGCCCCGTTAATTTTTTTTAACATTTATTTATTTTTGAGAGAGAGAGAGCGAGAGAGAGAGAGTGCATGCAAGAGGGGAAGAGGCAGAGAGAGGGGAGACACAGATTCCAAAGCAGGCTCCAGGCTCTGAGCTGTCAGCACAGAGCCCGATGCGGCGCCCAAACTCACAAGCTGTGAGATCATGACCTGATCCGAAGTTGGATGCTCAACCAACTGAGCCACCCAGGTGCCCCTCCTTTGCCAAGGTTTTAAAGGCTGCTGCTGATATATAAAATTTCAGTTGATTTTTATTTATTGATTTGAAGTTCTGTAATCTTAAGTTTTTTTTAATGTTTGTTTATTTTGAGAGAGAGGGAGAGAGCACGTGCCTGCACTAGGGGGAGTGGCAGAGAGAGAATCCCAAGCAGGCTCTGAGCTGATAGTGCAGAGCTCAATATGGCCACGATCTCACGAAATGTGAGATCATGAGCTGAAATCAAGAGATGCCTAACTGAGCCACCCAGGTGTAGCTCAAAATGTATTTGCTAAAAGTTGTTTATAATCTTTAATCTTTCTAATATTGGCAGCATATATAGTGGTACCGTGCTCTTTCCCCCACCCCTTATTCCCAGTTTTTGCTTACTTCTTTTTTCCCTTTTGTTTTTTGACTTATCAGAGGCTCATCAATTAGATTTTTGAAATAACTTTTATAAAAAATTTCTATAAAATCTCCATATTTGTTCCCTGGTTCATTAATTTTTGTGTTTTATTATTTTTATTCATCTGCTGATTTAGAGATTATATTGCAGTCCTCTTTGTAATTTTTTGAGACAGATGCTTACCTTATCTCTTGTCTTTTGTAATGTATTTCTTTCCAAATATTGCTTTTTGCTATCCCCTGAGTTTTGATAATGTAATTTTAAAAAGTTCAGTTCTAGATATTTTCTAATTCTCTTTTGATTTAGTTCTTTACCTGTGAGTTTAGAATTTTTCAAGTTCAAAAATCTTTTTCTTTAGTTATATTTTTGTTATTGAGATCTCTGACTTGATTGCACTTAGGTCTGAGAATGTTGCCCTTTTGATACCAGTCCTGTATTATGTTCTGTTGTATAACAAATTATCCCAGAATTTAATGGCTGAAAAAAGTTACTATTGTCTCATCATTTCTGTGGGTTCGGAATCTGAGCTCAAGCTTAGCTGTGTGCCCTGACTCTGGGTCCCTTGCAGGCTGTGATCAAGGTGTCACCCTGTCAGGCAGTCACCTTAAGGCTCAGTTGAGGGGAATCTACTTCCAGGAGTTTGGCCTCTTTCTTTTTTTTAAATTTTTTTATGTTTGTTTATTTATTTTTGAGACAGTAACAGAGCATGAGTGGGGGAGGGGCAAAGAGAGAGGGAAACACAGAATATGAAGCAGGCTCCAGGCTCTGAGCTGTCAGCACAGAGCCTGACGTGGGGCTCGAACCCACCAACCGTGAGATAATGACCTGAACTGAAGTTGGACTCTTAACCAACTGAGCCACCCAGGCGCTCCCAGGAGTTTGGCCTCTTAATGTTTCTTTCTAACTTGCCAGCTCATTAGTGCATTTTAAAAGATTTGCATGTGTTTTCCCTATCATTATTGTTTTCATCAGAAGGGTCAGGGTACCTATGGAGCCAAACTGTTACAGATTGGAAATGTATCTGTGTCAGCTGCTAAAGACCTGAACTAAAAACAAAGAAATGATTTCCTGAGGAGGGGATTATTTTTTGAGACAAGGAACCCCTGTGAATCAGAGTCCAGTAAGGAAATCCAAAGCCATGTTACTATTTCAACAGAGGGAATTTCACAGGGGGAATTGGTAACACAGATGTCGGAGGCCTGGAAGCAAATGGGAGCACCAAGGTTACCTAGTGGTAGTAATTGCAGGAGGCAGCTAACTTGCCTAGGGCTGATGATACAGAAGAGTGAGCTTCATGAGTCTGGAAGCATGGAGGAGAGGTCCTGTGGAACTGGTGCTCAGCTCTCCGAGAAGGACAGCTGTATGAGTGCTGCACCTGTCTCTGAGGTGCCCAAGGAGGCTGGTGATGAGAGTATAGAGAGGAGCTGGGGAGGAGCTGGCATCTGGAGCTGGCTGCCACTTCTGGGAGGACCCTGATGAGAGCAGCAACCATTTGGGAAGGAACAAGTTTTCTGCCTCTTACTACCTGCCGGTCACCCTGTAGTTCCCCTATTGTCCATACCTAATAGCTGGAAAAGGAGAAGGTTGTTGGCAGAGCCCCAACCCCTCTAAGCAGAGTACAAAAGAGTGGGTGTGGAGGGAGGGACAGTCATCAAATAAAAGGCAAGAGGCTGACCCAGTGCTCTGGGAGTCTCTCAAGGCCTGCTTTACTCAACTAGCCAGTGCCGTTCCTTGACAGGCCAAAAAGCCATGGAACCATGACTTACACTGCTGCTGCCATCCATGACTCCCAAACTTCACAAAGAATCCTTGCATTTGTTTATAGTAACTGGTATGAAGTGATAGCTGTTTCTCCTTTTCTCTTAGAATATAAAATATTATCAGGGTATCCGGGCTGCTGTGAGCAGGGTGAAGGACAGAGGACAGAAGGCTTTGGTTCTTGACATTGGCACTGGCACGGGACTCTTGTCAATGATGGCGGTCACAGCAGGGGCTGACTTCTGCTATGCCATTGAGGTGAGCCACACTGTTCAGATATGTGTCCTGTGTGTTGTGTGGGAAGTCTGTCATGTACCTTGCCTATCCGTTTGTTTACAAATGTTCATGGAGTGCTCACTCTGTTTCAGGCATAGAGCCAGGTTCTAAGGATATGGAGATGAATCAGACACCTTTCCTTACCCCAGGGTCTCCTTTTCTCCTCTGAAAACAGCAGTCCTCAGTCTTGGCCTCATGTCAGAATCACTTAAGTACTTAAATAGCTTCAGAAAATACTGATGCGGTAACTGCCTCCCCTGCCTCACCACCCCGCTATCCTGACTCCAGTTTTAATTTAATTATTCTGAGATGTGGCCTGGGCATTGGGAGTTTTAACTGTGCACCAAGGTTGAGACCTGCTAGTTTAAATTTTTTTTTTATTAAAAAAAATATTTTTTAATGTTTTTATTTTTGATGGAGAGAGAGAGAGCATGAGTGGGGGAGGAGCAGAGAGAGAGGGAGACACAGAATCCGAAGCAGGCTCCAGGTTTTGAGCTGTCGGCACAGAGCCGGACACGTGGCTCGAACTCACAAACCATGAGATCATGACCTGAGCTGAAGCCGGATGCCCAACTGACTGAGCCACCCAGGCGCCCCTAATTTTTTTTTTTTTTTTTTAACATTTATTCATTTTTGAGAGTGAGAGAGGCAGAGAATGAGCGGGAGAACGGCAGAGAGAGAGGGAGACATAGAATCCGAAGCAGGCTCCAGGCTCCGAGCTGTCAGGACAGGGTCCAACGCAGGGCTCGAACCCACGGACTGTGAGATCATGACCCGAGCTGAAGTTGGATACTTAACCGACTGAGCCACCCAGGCGCCTGAGACCTACTAGTTTAAATGTCTCCATTGAGCCTGCTATCTTACTATGTTTGTCAGTAGTTGGGCAGTCTGTCATTTCATTTCTTTATTGTAACATTAAACATACATTGTTTTGCTGATAAAGTAAATAATGCATTCTACCATAGAAAATATGGTAAATGTAAAACAAAAATAGCATGTTAACACAATGTTAACCATTGTTGAAATTTTGGCATATGTTCTTCACAACTTTTGGGAAAAGGTAGCATCTATTTAAACACTTTTTCCTACAAGATTTGGTTTGTATGGTGATTGAGTTGTGAATAACAAAGTCTCAAAATAACAATGGCTTAAACAAGATAGAAGATTTTTGCTTTCTCACATAAAGTCTGGAGGCAGCACTCTGGAGTATTCTACTCAGACTCCTTCTAGCTCCCCACCCCTCTTTCCCTATAGTGTGGCCCTCATGTTCATGGTCTAGAAAGGTGGGCATTTTAGGCTGAGGGAATCCCGTATTGTATTGTCCAGAGTCATGGCAAACAGGGTCAGGGTAGAAATCCAGAAAGGTAGATTGTAGCCACACTATGGAGGACCTGAGTGCTACAATAAAGACTTCTAACTTCAGTATCCTGAGTTAGTTGTTCTTAGCCTGAAATAAGAATAATGGGCTTCAGGGGCGCCTGGGTGGCTCAGTCGGTTAAGCGTCCGACTTCGGCTCAGGTCATGATCTCGCAGTCTGTGAGTTCAAGCCCCACGTCGGGCTCTGTGCTGACAGCTTGGAGCCTGCTTCAGATTCTGTGTCTCCCTTTCTCTGACCCTCCCCATTCATGCTCTGTCTCTTTCTCTCTCAAAAATAAATAAACATTAAACAAAAAAAAAAGAATAGGTTTCAGGGGCCCTTGGATGGCTTGGTCATTTAAGCGCCCGACTTCAGCTCAGGTCATGATCTCAGCACTCGAGCCCCACATCAGGCTCTGTGCTGACAGCTCAGAGCCTAGAACCTGCTTTGGATTCTGTCTCCCTCTCTTTCTGTCCCTCCCCCACTTGTGCTCTTTCTCTCTCTCAAATATGAATAAACATTAAAAAGAAAATCTTTAAAAAAAAAAAAAGAAAAATGGGCTTCAGGTCTCCATTAAGTCCTGAGAGAGGTAGGGATGTGTGTGTGTGTGTGTATGAGTGTATGAGTGTATGACTCTGTGCCCTTGTCTCAGGACTTCATAAAAAGATCAAGAGTCATTTCTTGGCCTTCTGGGGCATCATCAAGATTTTTTTTTGAGAGAAGAGAGACAAAGAGAATATGAGCAGGAGAGAGGGAGGGGGAGAGAGAGAACCCCAAGCAGGTTCCACATCCAGCATGGTGCCTGATGCAGGGTTCAGTCTTATAAACTGTGAGATCATGACCTGAGCCAAAATCAAGAGTCGGATGCTTAACCAACTGAGCCACCCAGGTGCCTCCATCATCATGATTTTTAAACAGATACAAAAAAATTTATATTTTAGGATAGTTACCTTAGTCTCAAGTAAATTTTATTATCCTTACTTTACAAATGAAGAAACTAAGACCCAGAGAGATTAAAGACTTAATCTCACAATTAATAAATAGGAGAGCTAGACCTGGAGACTTGGTCTTTTGGTTGCTAATTAAGGTGCTAGCCCTACAGTGGTATCTTGGATGGGAGAGGATGTGTGAGTGTGAGATTTCTAGCATGGTTGTCTGGGGGAACAGTGATGCTGTTGACTGGTGAGAGGAACTCAAGAAGATACTTACTTTGTAGGAAAGATAATGCATTTCATGTTGGATGTGGTAAGTATGAGAGAGACAGGTCCCAGGGCAGGAGTCACTTTATACGTGGACTGCTAATTGAAAATACAGGGTGAGGGGGCACCTGGGTGGCTCAGTCGGTTGTGCGTCTGACTCTTGATTTCAGCTTAGGTCATGATCTTACAGTTTGTGATTTGAGCCCCACTTCAGGCTCCTCACTCTTAGTGCAGAGCCTATTTGAGATTTCGCCTTCCCTCCCTCTCTCTGTGCCCCTCCCCTGCTCGCGCTCTCTCTCAAAATGAGTAAATAAACTTAAAAAAAAAGTACACACATACATACATATATGTATGTTATATATATATTTACGGTAAGAACATGTTTTCTGGCAGAATTGGTAGGACTGTGCTGTTGGGTTTTTCTATATATTTCCATCTCAGTTACCTGGATTTCTAATTTCTGTCTTGGTGCTCTGGTCTGTGATTCTCAGATCTTTTCTTTTTGGCTCTTGACATCTTATGGTGGCCTCCCAGCTTTTACTTTAGTGACCACCTTTTGAACCTCTCAACTCAGTTCTAGCTGGACTGCCCTGTGGTTTTCAACTCTGCCTGAGCTCCACAACTGGAAAGACAGGTCTAGAACAATGAGTGAGAACCTGCTAGTCTCTGGAGATGGACGTCTGAACCTTTAGAGAGTGGCATGTACAGGCGGATTTCCAAACTCATTTGCAGATGTGGCAGGTGAAGCTGGCATTGTAGGAGATTGTTCAAGGAGAGAGTAAAATGAGAAGGGCAGAGCTGGGGACATGCCTGTGAGGGAAGAAGGGTGGCCAGTAAAGGCAAGTTCAGACAGATGCAAAGAGACCCTAGAGGGCAGAGGTGGAAGCCAAGGTTGCAGGGCATTCATGGGAAAAAGGAAGTGGTCAGCAAGTGTGGATGTTCTAGCCCAGCATTGTCATATAGAACTTTCTGTGATGCTGAATATTCTATAGCTGTGCTGGCCAACATAGTGGTCCGTAGCCACATACGGCTGCTGAGCACTTGCAGTGTGACTAGTATGAGGAACTGAATTTTTTTTTAATGTTTTTTTTTTTTTTTTTGAGAGAGAGAGAGAGACAGAGAGAGAGAGAGAGAGAGAGAGACAGAGTGTGAGTCAGGCAGGGGTAGAGAGAAAGAGACACAGAATCTGAAACAGGCTCCAGGCTCCGAGCTGTCAGCACAGAGCCTGACGTGGGGCTTGCGCTCACAAACTGCAAGATCATGATCTGAGCTGAAGTCGGACACTTAACCGACTGAGCCACCCAGACGCCCTGAGAACTGAATTTTTAAATTTCACTTAGTTTGAATCAACGTCTATTTAAATGCATGTGGTCACTGTATTAGCACTGATGTAGCAGTTGAGTAGGATGAGGACTGAGAGAAAGCTGTTAGGTTGGCAGCTAGGAGGTGACCTCCTTTAAATGGTATTTTCAGGGGAATAGGTTTGAGGAGTAGATGGAATACAAGGAATTACAGACAGTGACTATAAACTTCTCTTTTAACACGTTTGAAAAGTGAGGAATATTTTGGGAAGGTGTATTCGTTACAGTGATTTCTGTGGTAAATGCTTTGAGAATAAAGCATGGTCCTGGTTTCCTCACTTATTTTCCTTCTTTGTAAGAGCAAGAAGAACTTTCTCAGAAATCTCTAGCAAACCTCTCTTTGGGTATCTTTGGCCAGAATAAGGTTCAATCCTATTTAACTTACTTCAGTGACATGGCCTGAGAGATTCAGTTACACTTAGACCAGACAGGTGTACCACTTGGAAGTGATACAGTCATTCCCCAAACTGGAGGTGCAGGGGAGTACACAGAATGATGTTGGGAAGTCATCTTCAGGGGCCATTCCAGAAAGAAGTGTTCTGGGAGAGATTTTGAGGTCTTAAGCTAAGGAGGAGACTGTGAATGTCAAGCCTGAAGGGTCAACAGAAGAGATGAGTGATAATGTCCAGAGGCAGGAGGCCTGAGGGGATGATACGAACTTGTGATAACTTTGGGGTGGAGGCAAAGCGATGGGTGAGAACTGAGGTCTTGAGGCCCTCAGACTACATCTAAAAACACCAAGCCAGATCCTAGAAATAATTTGAAACAGATTGGAACGATTTTTTTCCTAGGTAAGCACATATGTATCCTTTACAGAAGAATATAGCATTTCCTTTTGATTTTAATAAAAGAAGTATGTGTTCATGGTAGAAAATATGGAAAACGCAGAAAAGGACTTAGGAAAAATGGAAATCTTGTCCTTGTGACCAGTTACTTTATCATTTTGTTCTATTTCCACTCTGTAGGTGTGGCCACATGTGCATCTGTATGTTTTATGCACTATCGTGGTTGGAGCCGTGCAATCTAAATTGGGCAAGCTAGAAAGTAAGAGTTGGAGGGGTTTGTGTTTAGGGATAAGTAAAGGGTTTAGGAAGGCTTTGGAGAAGCGGGGGCTTCGTGCTTCCTGGAAAGTTGGGTTTGCCTTGGCAGGTTGGGGTAGGGCAGAGAAGGCTAAGGCTTCCCTAGTGCACAATAAGATCAGTGTGGCAGGAGCATCAGTCATGGGTGGGGATGGATTAGGAGGGGAATAAGGCTGGGGGAACTAAGGTGGTTCATATTATGGAGGTCCTCGAATGCCATAAAATAGAGGCTGTATTATGCCAGCAGCAAGGATTTGGGACAGTTTTGAGCTGACGCCTGTTTACATTTAACAACTAATGCAGTAACAGTCTCACTTCCTTCTAGAGAGTACAGTTGTCCAGCCCCATTCCCCCAGGGTGTGGTTTTGTGAAGCAAATCCCCTTGCTGCCTTCTTCTAGCCTGGCTCTGACACCTGCCGTCCTTACTAGGTAGTGCAACCTTCCTGGGAAGCCCTGTGTCCCCAGTGTGCGTAGCATGTAAGGTTTAACTCCTGCAAGTTAAACCCAGTGGATGGCCTTCCCTTTGTGTTCATTTTTATGACATGCATTTGGAGAATAAACTATTTAAGTTACAAAGGTGAAGTCTCATTTATTTAGATCAAATCAGCCCAAGAAATATTTTGCCTGTATCAAACAGTAACAGAGGTACATTTTATATATTCAGGAGGTAACTCTGTAATGGAGACCTCTTTTACTTCAAGTCTTAGAACCTGTATCAAGACATATTGTGTCTTGATTCTCCATTTAAAGAGAGATTACTAATCTTTGATGTTAGGATGTTATTTAATTTATTGCTCATTTTTACTTGGGTTTTGGCGCCAATTTCTAGGTTTTCAAGCCTATGGCTGATGCTGCTGTAAAGATTGTGGAGAAAAATGGCTTCAGTGATAAGATTAAGATTATTAACAAGCATTCCACTGAGGTGACGATGGGACCAGGTAAGATCAACACATACTGTTTGAGGGGTGCCTGGGTGGCTCATGCGGTTGAGCATCTGACTCTTGATTTCTGCTCAGGTCATGATCTCATGGGGCTCTGCTCTGACAGCATGGAGCCTGCTTGGGATTCTCTCTCTCCCTCTCTCTGCCCCTCTCATGATAGTGCGCTTTCTCGTGCTCTCTCTCTCAAAATAAATAAACTTAAAAAAAACCAAAACATACTGTTTTAAAAGCCTTATTCACTCTTATAGGAGAGAAGACAGGTTTATTCTAGTTATCTGGAATAAACGTATTCAGGTTATTGAAGAGAAATGGGGCCTCTCCACTTGGTCTGAAGATAAGTACTTTGCTTCTCTACTAGTGAAAACAAATCAGCAGTGAGTAAACCAAAACTAATGCTCAACAGTGGTGAGACAAATGAAACTTCCTTTTGCTTTAAGCAAGTTGAAATTCTTATGTGACTCAGTTCTCAGAGATTTGAGTTTTATCGACAGAAGTAAAACTAAGTAGATAGCAGAAAGAGGTTTGCTTAGTGCTGACATCCTGCTTCAGCATCCAACATGAGAGATTTGCCTATATAGCACAGTCTCTCCAGGTTTTCAGAATATTTTTTATAGTCTAGGCATTTGAGTCAGACTTCTAAAATTTCACATGCCACTTGATACCTGGAGAGACAGTGGAAAGATTGCAAAAGAAGCTTCTGGGATGAGGTTATGTATATCACCAGTTTTTTAAAATGCAGTATTTTAGATGGAAGCATCTATATAAGATCAACGTTTTTGTCCCATTTAAAAAAAATGTTTTTAAAAAAAATTTTTTTTTTCAACGTTTATTTATTTTTAGGACAGAGAGAGAGACAGAGCATGAACGGGGGAGGGGCAGAGAGAGAGGGAGACACAGAATCGGAAACAGGCTCCAGGCTCCCGGCCATCAGCCCAGAGCCTGACGCGGGGCTCGAACTCACGGACCGCGAGATCGTGACCTGGCTGAAGTCGGATGCTTAACCGACTGCGCCACCCAGGCGCCCCAAAAAAATGTTTTTTTAAATGCAGAATCTGAAACATGCACAAAAGAAAGGATTAGTGTGCCCTTTATTTTTGAAGCCTACAAAAGAGTGTGCAAATAATTATCTCATTTTTTAGTCCACATTATTGAGGTATAATGTACATAAAATGAGTGCATCTGGGGCACTTGGGTGGCTCAGTCAGTTAAGCGCTCAACTTCGGCTCGGGTCATGATCTCGCGGTTCCGGAGTTCAAGCCCCACATCAGGCTCTGTGCTGACAGCTCAGAGCCTGGAACCTGCTTCAGATTCTTTCTCTCCCTCTCTCTCTGCCCCTCCCCAGTGCGTGTGCACTCTCTCTCTCTCTCTCTCTGTCTCAAAAATATACATTAAAAATTTTTTTTTAAAAATGAGCGCATCTGTCTTAAGTATATAGTTTGAGTTTGGACAAATGTAAACACATTTGTAACCTCTTCTGCATTCCAGACTGTAGAAAGTCTTTACCGTGCACAGATTTCCTCATGGCCGCTTTATAGTCTTTTGCCTCCATATCACTGATCCTAGGCATCCACTGATGTGCTTTCTTCTTTTTTTTTTAACGTTTATTCATTTTTGAGACAGAGAGAGACAGAGCATGAATGGGGGAAGGTCAGAGAGAGAGGGAGACACAGAATCTGAAACAGGCTCCAGGCTCTGAGCTGTCAGCACAGAGACTGACGTGGGGCTCGAACTCACTGCGAGATCATGACCTGAGCCGAAGTCGGATGCCCAACCGACTGAGCCACCCAGGCGCCCCTGATGTGCTTTCTTCAATGTAGATTAGATTCCCCCCTTTTCTAGAATTTTGAGTAAGTGAAATCACCCACATGTACTCTTTCTTTTCTTTAGCATAATGCTTTTGGGTTTCATCCACGTTCTGTGGATCAAGCGTTGCTGAGTAGCACTGTGTGTGTGCATACTTTAATTTGTTCATCCCCTCACCTACTGATGGACATGTTAGTTTCTTAGGTCTTGAGGTTTACTGTTTTTTTTCTTTTGTGGTGTCTAATCTGCTGAGTACATCTAGTGAACTTTTTATTTCTCATACTGTATTTTTCATATCTAAAGGTTTCCTTTGATTCTGTTTTATAACTTGCATCGCTCTTATTTTTTCATGTGATTTTTTAAGTAGTTGTCATATCTATATTAGCTGGGGTTTTTTGTTTTTTTTTTTAAGAGGACATTACTTAAAGTTTATTTTGAGAGAGAGAGAACATGCGCACATGCGTGAGCCAGTTGGAGAGGGGCAGAGAGAGAGGGGGAGAGAATTTCAAGTAGGCCTCCACACTTTCAGTGCAGAGCTTGACACGGGCTTGATCTCATGAACTATGACATCATGATCTGAGCTGAAATTAAGAGTTGGACCCTTAACCAATTGAGCCACCAGATAGCTGTTTTAACATCCTTATCTTCTGGTTCCACTGCCTCAGTCTTTCCTGGGTTTATTCTGCTGACTAATTTTTATCCTGATTCTGGATTACATTTTTCTTCTTCACATGTCTAATAATTTTTATTTGGATGCTATGTATGGTGGGAGTTTTGCATTGCTGAGTACCAGAGTTTATTGTCTCCCTTTAAAAACTTTGGGGGCATCTGGGTGGTTCAGTCAGTTAAGTGTCTGACTTTGGCACAGGTCATGATTTCATGGTTTGTGAGTTCAAGCCCCACCTTGGACTCTCTGCTGTCAGCACAGAGCCTGCTTTGGATTTTCTATCTCCCTCTCTCTGTCTTGTGTCTGCTCACTCCCTCTCAAAAATAAATAAAAAAAAATTTTTTTTAATAAAAAAAAAGGCTTTGCCTGGCATGCAGTTGGGCTACTAGTAGGTTAGTTTGATCCTTTCAGGGCTTGTTTTTTTTTGTTTTTTTTTTTGTTTTTTTAATTTTTTTTTTTTCAACGTTTATTTATTTTTGGGACAGAGAGAGACAGAGCATGAACGGGGGAGGGTCAGAGAGACAGGGAGACACAGAATCGGAAACAGGCTCCAGGCTCTGAGCCATCAGCCCAGAGCCTGACGCGGGGCTCGAACTCACAGACTGCGAGATCGTGACCTGGCTGAAGTCGGACGCTTAACCGACTGCGCCACCCAGGCGCCCCTCAGGGTTTGTTTTTAAGCTTTGTTGGAGCAGGGTTAGAATAGCTTTATTTATTTATTTATTTATTTATTTATTTATTTATTTATTTATTTATTTATTTTTAAAGATTTTTATTTTTAATCTCTACACCCAATGTAGGACTCGAACTCACAGCCCTGAGATCAAGAGCCACATGCTCCACTGATTGAATCACCTGGCACCCTGGGTTAGAATAATTTTAAGTCCGGTTTTCTCAAAAGTGACATTTTGGGCCTGATAATTTGTTGGGAGGAGCTGTCCTGTGTATTGGAGGATGTTTACCCCTGGCTTCTAACCAGTAGAAGCTGGTATCACCTACTCCCCCACTAGCATTTGTACCAACCAGAAATGTCTCCAGACATTGCCGAATGTCTTGGGGGTGGGTAGGGGCAAAATTGCCCTCTATTGAAAACCACTGTTCCTCCTCCTCCTCCTCCTTCTTCTTCTTCTTTTTTTAATGTTTATTATTTTTCAGAGAGAGCATGAGTAGGGGAAGGACAGAGAGAGAGAGGGAGACAGAATATGAAGCAGGCTCTAGGTTCTGAGCTGTTTGAGAGCCAGATGCAGGGCTCAAACTCATGGACCAAGAGAACATGACCTCAGCCGAAGTCAGATTCTTAACCGACTGAGCCACCCAGGCGCCCCTGTTTTAAGACTACCTTGGTCACACTAGCAAAGCATGGCTTTTCTGGGGTCTCTGCTTAGTGTCTGGTGCTGGCTGAGTGGAACTAGAATGTTTCCCAGTCCTCTGTGAGCTCTGGAAATTATTCAATTTCTAGCTCTATGGTTGTCCTTTGCCAGACTTTCTATATTCTTCTATATGTGTGAATATATTCAACAAGAGGCTTCGGGGGAGTCCTGTGCAGATTTCGGAAACCTGCTTTCTGTGTAACATCCTCTCTGGTCCCTGCCCCCAGTCGTGAGCCCCAGCCACCTGCCCTCTCTCAGCTTCAGTTGCTATCTCTTTACCTCAGCAAGATTGCTACGTTCTGCCTGCCTGACATCGTGCTTTTTGTACAGCATCTGGAAACTACCTACTAGCAGAAAGCCAGAGCAGTTGCAGGGGTCACTTTGTTTCTCTTCTTAGAGAACAAATTTGTTTCCTCTTATTCAACATCTGAAAACACTTGTTTCATATACTTTATCTAGTTTTCTAGTTGACTACAGTGGGTGGCTAAGTTTGATCCCAAGTACTCCACAGGTAACTTGGGGAGCAACATTTGTCCATCTAGTCATGTGGCAAAGACATACAAGGCACTGGGGTAACCACCCCTCCCCAGGTTCCCACTGCACCCTCCTGTATTAGCACTCACATGCTAGATACCAGGCTCTTCAAGAGTATTTATTGAGATTCAGTGGATCATAAAACTTTGTTTATTTGAAGCAAATTGAATAATAAATCATTTTAAGTTACAAAATTGTTTTAAGAATTATTCAGGAGGTAGAATTGGCAGGGCTTGGTGACTGGATGTAAGATGACAGGGAGGAATCAAGAATTCAGCCAATGTTTGCTGGTTGTTGTGGGTGCTAGGTGTTGTTCTAGGCATTGGGGTAAAATGGCAAGCAGAGCAGGCAGGGTCTCTGCTCTCCTGGAGCTGACAAATGATGCCCTGGTTTCAGGGCTGTGTGACCGGTGGTGCCATCCACTGAGGCAGAAGCATCGGAGGGAGAAGCAGTTGTGTAGGGGTTGGGTGCAGTTTGGGATAATATATTTCCGTTCGAGTTTGGCATGATACCAGAGATGTGGGCAGTGCCGTTCAGGAGGGCGGTCTCTGTGCCAAGAGAAAGATGTTTCTTGTCAGCCTCCTTGCATGGCATACTGCCATTGAGCACAAGGGTACTTCATAGCAAGTAGATTACCTGGGTGGCCCAGTCAGTTGAGTGTCCTACTCTTAATTTCAGCTCAGGTCATGATCTCACAGGTTCCTGGATGGAGCCCTGCATTGGGCTCTGTGCTGAGAATGCAGAGCTTGCTTGGGATTTTCTCTCTCCCTCTCTGTCCCTTGCTCTTGAGCATGTGTGCACATACTCTCTCCCTGTCTCAAAGTACGTAAACTTAAAAAAGAAAGTGAAAGTGGACAGTTTTTTCCTTTGCTGTGCTACCACCATATCTCATTACTCTTGTTTTAAAGATTACGTGACTGATGGTCAGCACTGAAGGTTCAAGGCTAGAAAATGGGATCCAGCCCCAGGTCTCCATGACTTCAGGTTTTCTCTACCTCACCCTCCTTTGAGCTTCCTAAATGCTTCTCTTTCCTTTTGTTATCCATGAGACTTGTCTTCTGTGTGGGGAAGATGAGTGGGCTTTGTCAGATGAGAATTTGTGTGCCATTAGAGGTATTTATGGTTAATTCTCTATGATAATTAGCCCCTTCCAAAGTTTATTGTCTCTTGGCTCATTAAAAATTGTAATTGTAGGGGCGCCTGGGTGGCGCAGTCGGTTAAGCGTCCGACTTCAGCCAGGTCACGATCTCGCGGTCCGTGAGTTCAAGCCCCGCGTCGGGCTCTGGGCTGATGGCTCAGAGCCTGGAGCCTGTTTCCGATTCTGTGTGTCTCCCTCTCTCTCTGCCCCTCCCCCGTTCATGCTCTGTCTCTCTCTGTCCCAAAAATAAATTAAAAACGTTGAAAAAAAATTTTTTTTAATTGTAATTGTAGAAGTAACATTACATTACATGATGGAGGCTTGACAAATAGATTCAGCAAAAAGATCTTCCCTGATCCTAGTATTCTAAAACAACTATTATTTGGGGGATTGACTGGTAGCAAGAAATTAACTTAATTAAGGAGGATTTAGTAGAAGGAGCTGGGGATTCTGAATCCTGGATCTTGTAGTATCATTGGAATCATGCAACCTCTCTTGCTTTGGTTTTTCTCTCTCTGTGCAGCCTAGAAATAGAAGTACCAGCATTCAGGGGCACCTGAGTGGCTCATTCACTTAAGCTTCCTACTCTTGATTTCAGTTAAGTCATGATCTTATGGTTCATGGGTTCAAGCCCCAAGGTTGGGCTTCATGCTCATGGCATGGAGCCTGCTCGGGATTTCTCTCTCTCCCCCTCTCTCTGCCTCTCCCCCATTCGTGCTCGCTCGCTCTCTCTCTCTCTTAAAAAAAAAAATAAACTTAAAAAGTAGAAGCATTAAGTTTTTGTTTTTCAAATCATTGTTGTTAATATATTAATAGTTTATTTAATTGTTAATTTGCATCTCTCCAATTGCTAATAAGAATGATACATTTTTGGGGTGCCTGGGTGGCTCAGTTGGTTAAGCACCTGACTCTTGATCTCAGGGTCAGGAGTTCAGGCCTTGTGTTGGGGTCTACACTGGGCATGGGGCCTACTTTAAAAATAAATAAATAAATAACATTTTCCATATAATTGATTGATTTTTCTGTTTTGAATTGTCTCTTTGTATTTTTGCCTGGTTTTCTTTTTGGGTGTTTATAGCTTTCTTACCAGTTCTGCAAGTCCCTTGCAATATTAAATGTACAGAAAAATTGAAAGAGTGGTGTAGTGGACGCTTACATTCTCTTAAGCAAGACTTATCAGTTGCTGGTATTTTGATGTGTATATGTACATCGAAATAGGCTCTTTGGTGAGCCATTGGAAAGTTAGTTGCATGACACTATTGAATTCTTCGGTATATGTGTATGCTTTCAATTTAGTGATCTGTTAACCTTTTATCTTTCACGTATTTGTTGTAAATATTTTTTTGACCGCTTGCTTCTGGCTCTTTGTTCATGTTTCTTAGATGGTGACATGCCATGCCGTGCCAATATCCTGATAACGGAATTGTTTGATACGGAACTGATTGGAGAGGGAGCGCTGCCTTCCTATGAACATGCACACAGGCATCTCGTGCAGGTAGGGAATCAAGGACCTCCCTCGCACATATTGCTGTGATCTCAGCCAGCTCACACAGGTCTCATTGATACAATGTGCTGTGCACAGCCTGAGCCCTCAGTACTTCTCTGTACACCTTAGGGTGCCCTTCATTCCTACAAGACTCTGGTTCTCCTCAATTAGGACTTCTGGATCTCTTATCAGGTCTTTGTAGGCTAGAGTCAAAAGGCAAGAAACTGTGTTTCAATTCAATTCAATTCAGCAAACATTCTTTGAATGTCACCCGTGTATAAGGTGTTCTTGCATCCAGGGAGAAATATCAGACATCCTTCTTGTTTCTAAGATCCACCGTCAGTGACAGTAAAGACTGGATGGGCCAAATGGAGAGGCACACAGAAGCACCACTAAAATTTGTTTTAGGACTGGCGGATGGGGTCTGGGATCAGGAGATGAGGTCATGTGTAGAGATGGTGGAATTTGGAAAGGCACTGAGAAGAGAGAGAGGTATCCCAGGTAGAGGACCTATTTGGTAGGTCAGTGAGAACACCACACTGAGTGGGCTTGTGAGCTAATGGTGGAGAGTGGGGGAGAGGGTGGAAGGCCTTGAATGCGAAACCATTCCAGTTAGAAGAATTTGGGTAGTGATAATCGTTGACAGTTTTGGGGGAAGGGAGAAGCGTGTTGAAAGTGTTATCTCAGGGATGTTGGTCTTTTTTTTTTATGGACATAAGCTTCCCCAGAGGCAAAAGCCAGGTGGGGAGGTATGAGTGTCTGTTTCTTTTGCTGCCACCTGTCCTGTGGGAACCATCCAGGTGAGCCTGCAACTGTCCCAGTCTGGGGCCCTCTTTGGGGATTCTTGGTGTTCGCACAATGAAGAATGTGGCTCCTTCCAGGGCAATTGGGTACATAGTCCACCTTACTCACACGGTCAGCATGTGATGGTGATTGTTCCACAGATCCCTACGCTGTGTGAGATGTCTCATTGTCTCCAAAATGTGAAATCTTTTTCTAGTAATGTTAGTAATTATTGCTCTTTCTTCACATTAAAACCATCAGCTAAAGCAAAACAAAACAAAACAAAAACTACCAACTAGATGAATCCCTGAAACAGAGAATGAGGATGTTAGAATTATGCTAGTGTTGCCCAATTGGTCTTTTCTCTAATACATTTAATAATTATGAGTTGTGCAGGCAGCCATCTGCAGTTTCCTTTCTCAGCTGACCTGTGCAGCTAGGTGTCCATTGTCTGGGGGTATTTTTTTTTTAATGTTTGTTTATTTTTAATGTTTATTTATTTATTTTGAGAGTGAGCAAGTAGGGGGAGGGACAGAGAGAGAGGAGAGAAAGAATCCCAAACAGGCTCCATGCTATCAGCACAGAGCCCGATGTGTGGCTCGATCCCGCAAGCTGTGAGATCATGACCTGAGCCAAAACCAAGAATCAGGTGCTTAACTGACTGAGCCACCCGGGTGCCCCTCCACTGTCTGTTCTAATCGCTATCCCCATCTGTCCACCCTGTTTCTGAGATTGAAAGAGTTATGGCTTTACACAAAGGCTTCCATTGCCCTGTCCCTCTTCCTGCCTTGTTGAGGGTCATGGAACTAGGATGCTGGCATGTCTAACAGATAGTCCATCTGATGTCCATGTGGTGATGAATGACCCAGTGATTAATCTGAGAAGGTAAATTTATCAAGTGCCTTCATTTTTCTGGGCTCCTTTTTGAGTACCAGGAATATGAAGGTGCACTCCCAGACAGGCAGGTAGGTGAGCAGGTTATCCCAGTACAGTTGGAGTTATGCTCAGATGGTCAGTGGGGTGAGATCCTGTCCGCTCTGGTAGGGTATGATGGGGAGCATGAAGGGAGATAAAGCTTGAGCTGAGTCTGTCTTCAAGAGTCATCAAGTATTGGCCTGGCAGACGAGGGTATTCTCAGTAGAAAAGGTCAGCATGCAGAAAGATGTGAAGAAGAGCTGGTACAGGGCGAGTTGTTGGCATTATGGGTAGTGTGGGAGGCAGGGCTACATTCAGATGGGCCCCTGTGCTCCAGAAGGCAGTGTGTTACCACAGGAGGGGATTGACATTGGATTCATGCAGGCAGGCATTTGGAGAGCAGTTGAGGTGTAAGATCAGAGGTAGGAAGACTGATTGGAAGGTGGTTGGGGTCATCCAGGCCCTGAGGCTGAGACGAGCCTCAGCTGAGACCAGGGAAATGGGCCTGGAGAGGTAGACTTGGGGAGGAGGAAGGTGGTCAAGGACTTGGTAATTACTTAGATGTGGAGGCATTGAGGATGATGCCAGGGTTTGGGGCTAGGTGATTAGATTGGATGTTGGTGTTCCCTACTGAATGGGAGGACCACCAAACCCGGGAAGGAGGGGGAGAAGTGAAGTTGATTTGTTTGGTTTAGATAGAGTTTGAGCTATCTGAGGGTCAGCCAAATGGAGTGGACCAGAAGGCTTTTGGACACGTGGTATTTGGTAAACGAAATACCAAATTTCCCTGGCTGAGCTCCCTCAGGGGAGAGTATGTGGAGGGAGAGAAAGGTGGGCCCAGACCAAGTCTGGAGTTCTCTCTGAAGGATGAACAGGGGAAGTTTAGCCTTCTGAAGGAGACAGAGGGGGAGAACAGTACTTCTAATCAGGGGTCATGCTTGGAGACTTTTTCGTTGTTACAACTGAGATGGGGATGCTATTGGCATCCTTGTGGTTAGAGGCCAAGGTGTTGATAAACATGGTATGATGCACCAAACAGCCCCATACCAAAGGATCATCTGGCCCAAGAGGTCACTAGTACTAAGGTAGAGAAACCCTATGCCTGTCATTTCCCTCCAGTAGTAGCTGTGTCTTCCTCATGGCTGGGCCCCTGGTGCCTGGTGCGTAGAGGCTGTCAGGTGAAAGAATGGGGTAGGAGGGAAACTGGATGAGGTGTTTCAGCCAAAGCCAAACAAGGGGAGCAATTGGCAGTGCCCAGTGAGGCCAGGGGATTAGGTCATCTGAGGGTGGACACTTGTCCATTGGGCTGTGCAATAAGGTTCTGGCGTCTGGGTGAGAGCTGTACCTGAGAGAAACTCTGAGCCCAGTGCCAGAATTACTGCTTCGCAGGAAGTCTTGGACTCTTTCTTCAAAGTTGATGTGGGAGTTAATCAGCATGATAACAATTAAGGGTTATTTTTGAAGTATTTAAAAGTGTCATGTAGCCAGGAATTTATCTGACATAAATCATTTTAGATATAGCATGTATTCTTTTTGAAATGTGGTTCCTTTTTTCTCCTTTCCCAAGGACATTAGGCCAAAAACAGTTCACTGTTCTGATAGTGGTAAGGCGTTAGATGCTGCTAAACTGACCTGATATTAAGGAACAAACCCTCTCCCTCTCCCTTTCCCTCTCCCCCTCCCCCCTCCCTCCCTCCCTCTCTCCCTCTCCCCCCCCTCCTCTTCTGTCTTTTTTTTTCTTGAGAGAGACAGAGAGTACAAGCAGGGGAGAGGGGCACGCTCGGGGGAGAGGCAAAGAGAGAAAGTGGGAGAGAGAATCCTAGGCAGGCTCCATGCTCAGTGTGGAGCCCCACACAGGGCTCAATTCCAAGATCCTGCGATTATGACCTGTGCTGAAATCAAGAGTCTGATGCTCAACTGACTGAGCCTGAGCCACTTAGGCATGCCTGGAACAAACCTCTTTTGATCCATGAGGATTACTGTGGGTTTATTTTCTAATAATATACTGGTTTGTTTTTTCTTCTTTTGTTTTTTTAACAAACTTAGGAAAACTGTGAGGCAGTGCCTCACAGAGCAACTGTCTATGCTCAGCTGGTGGAGTCCAGGAGGATGTGGTCGTGGAATAAGCTCTTTCCTATCCCCGTGCATACCAGCTGTGGAGAGCAGGTCATCGTCCCCCCCTTGGAACTGGAGAGATGCCCTGGTGCACCCTCTGTCTATGACATTCAGCTGAACCAGGTGTCATCCGCTGACTTCACTGTCCTCAGTGATGTGCTGCCTATGTTCAGGTACCAAGAAGCCACCCCAGCTGACGGCGCTTTAAGATATTTGGTGGAATTGAGGTCTTTAGAAGTTCTTCATGAGTGAGAAGGAAACCTAGCTGAGGTCACCTGCTTCTGAAGGCAGGAGTCCATTGCAGACAAGTCCCATTGCTAGTGATGTCACCATAAAAGCTTAAAAATGGAGTGTGTGGGCTTAAAATACACTTAAATTCTTGCATATTCTTCCACAGTGTGGACTTCAGCAAGCAAGTCAGTAGCTCAGCAGCTTGCCACAGCCGGCAGTTTGAACCTCTGGCATCTGGTCGAGCTCAGGTGGTTCTCTCTTGGTGGGACATTGAAATGGACCCTGAGGGGAAGATTAAGTGCAGCATGGCCCCCTTCTGGGCACACTCAGACCCAGAGGAGCTACAGGTAAGAGATAATACCTGAGCACATTTTCATGTAAATCAGGAAACTTACCCACTTATGGTTGTGGGAAAGTAACGTGTTGAACCTTAGATTCACAAGAATTTAGAGACTGGAGGGGCTATGTCAGAATCAATGTCAGAGAAGAGTTAAACAAACAAAAATCCCCAAAAGGCAAGGCTGCCTATCATAATAAGATATAAAATAGATCTCTCAGCCGAATTCAGGCAGCATCCACAGAGGGGGCCTTGGGGAAACTTGGATGTGCTGGCTCTCCCAACTCCCAGCACAGCTACTCTCAGAGCCCACACCCCTTGCCCCCGAGTAATCCCAGGGAGCCTCACATCAAGTTGGAATGGAGGACTACAGTCTGTCTGCAGACTTATTTTCTGCGTGGCCTCAAAATCTAGCTTTTCTAAAAAAAAAACGGGTACCTTTTCTAGCTCAATTGAAAGTGGGTGAGGACGTGAACTGCAGAAAAGGAAATGCAGAGTACTGTTTAACATGTGAAAAGCTGTTCAGTCTCACTCATAAGAGCAGTGCACATGTAAACTGCAGTGAGACATGATTTTCCACCTGTTAGTGATGAAGTTCAGGAAATTTGGTAATGCACTGTCGGGAGAGCTGTGGGGACAACTGGCCAGTGAGCATCACAGCTTCCATGGAGCACAAGGAGGCCTACCTAATCTGTCATCAGAGGAAGGATGCCACTTCCAGACATTTAGGTTCTGGATAGATTGGTGTCTGTGTATAATGACGTGTGCTGGGATACTCACTGCAGCCCTGATTTAACAGAAAAGACTGGAACAACCTAGAAGCCACCAGTAGGGGACTGCATCCTTACTGATGCTAAGAGAGGCAGCTCTCTTATCACTGATGGAGAATAATCTCTAGGATGATCATTAAGTGAAACAAAAATAGAGGTGCTGAACAGTGTGTGCTATGCCAATGTTGGTATCAATAAAAATAAGATGTATGTGTTTATGAGTGTATATGTGTGGTGGGTGTGTATAAGAATATATTTGGAAGAATCCACATAAATTGGTAAAAATGGTTGTTTCTGGGAAGGGGGCTAGAGGTTAGGGGTGAAAAGCAAACTTACTTTTTATTCCATGACCTTTTTATATCTTTTGAATTTTCTCTCAAGTGCACGTGTTGTCCACCCCTTATATGCACACCTAAAGGGAAAAAAAGTGGGAAAGGTGCCTGTTCAGGGCCAAGGAATCAAGCCTTCCTTTTCCGCCTGGGAGGCCCTGGGGCACCATCCTCTCTCTGTGTTTTGTTGTCCTGTTAACCATTTGCTGGGCACTGGGTTTATCTTGATTGCTCATCTGCTAGTTCTAGTGTGACTTCTAAGGATGACCTTAGCTGCTCCCCTGCTCTCTGAGTTACTGCTTAGGCCAAAGGGTCATGACTGCTACAGGATTGCACTTGGTCCCTTTCCCCCCTCCCGGGCCTTTGAGGTCCCTCTTCTCCCTTCTGCCCTCCACTTGTCTGGCATTGGGCGTTGTGTGACTCCAAGCAGTGTGTATGAACTTCCTCGGCATATCCTGGTCCTCTGCAGGCTCAGGGTGTATTTGGGGGTGGGAGGAGGGCGTGGGTCAGAATTCTTCTACAGAATTGAGATTGACGCTGGGCTGTTTTCTTTCCCTTTGGGAGTGTGAGGATACAAATTAGCATAAGAATGCAAAGTGCTAGTGATCTCATTTGCATATCTTCAAAGTGCTACTTGAATTCACGTGGAAGACTTGCTGGGTAACCACATACTGCCCAAACTGAGACTGAGACAGACCCAACCCAGTGAGTGATTGGAGCAGGGCCTTCTATCTAGGCGGCAGTAGTGGATGCTTGTCCCTAGGTCTCCTGACTTTGTGTCCTTCCTTTACCAGTGTTTTGTACAGTTTGTGCCCTTTGTTTACCAGTGGTGGCCTGTGGACTGTTAGAAATGTGAAGAGCTGCTTGCTAATGCATTTCTCTCTTGACTTCACTAAACTGCTCTTGGTTTGAAATATATTCAGTTTGTCTCACCTTGGGCAGTGGGTTCTGTCAGCAGACCTTTAGCTTAAGAACCTGGGAGGCTGGCGTGTTGAGGACTTGATGATGATCAGGGAGCATTATGGGAGCCTGGGAGGGGTTGGGGACGGCTTCTTTTGTCTTTGGGTCAATTTGCATAGTAAGGAATGAACTACAGGTTTTAGAGAATCTGTTTTTTCCTCCTTGTGTTTCCTTATTCTACAGTGTGTCTAGTTACATTGTCATTTTCTAGCTTTTATGTTCAAATAGACATCTTAGATACCTGGGGCTGTCATTCACCTGCGTTTTAGTTAGATCCAAATCTGGGGAGGGCGGAATGCTTCCTGAGAAGTAAGGCTGGTGTCAGCCTCATTTGGGTCTGCGCCCAGCAGTGATGGAGTCTCCCAGGGGCCAAGTTTTTCTTAGTTCCTGATGATGACAGAGAATGAGTACACGCTTGTGTCATCAGAATTGAGCCAGGCATCCACTTTTTAGGACAGTTCTTTCTTTTTAAAAAAGAGGCTTAAAGGTTATGAGAGTAATAAACCTTGTGTAAAACAAAAATGAATCCAAAGTCACTCAGGGTCCTGTCACTGCTAAGAACTCCCTTCCTTTGATCTCTTTCCATATGCACAGATTTTGTCAGTGCTGACTTCTAGTTTCATGCTGCACTAGTCATGATAGTTACCATTTTCAGTGTCTGTGAATATTCTGAATAAGATTTTTCTGAGCTGCTGGACATTTGGTCCAGTTTTTGCTAGTATAAATCTGTAATAAGGGTGTTCCTGAGAATATAGCTTTTTTTCCTTTTTTGTTTGCATTTTCTTAGCATAGAATCCTGTATGTGGGGTTTGTAGTGTCAAAAAGGATCAACACAGCGTATTAAGTTGACTCTGGATCCTTGTATACCATGTTTCACAATTTAGAGTATTCCAGGTCTTTAAAAACTATTTAATTCAAAAGAATAAACAGGACAAAACCTTTCTGTACTATTTCCCCAACTTTTTATTTTGAAAAATTCTAAATCCATAGAATAAATGAAAATAAACATTGAGATGCCCTTTACTTAAATGTAACAGTTATTTACATTTGCCATGTTTGCTTTCTCTCCCCCTTCCCTCTCTGCCTTCCTTTGTGTGTGCACACACGTGAGGTGGAGGCATGCACATGTACACACACATACACACACATGACAGAGAGGCTGGAGTCCCCTCTCCTAAACCCTTCTGGAAGACTGCTTCCCTGGGCTGTATCCTTGAAGCCAGCAAGCCTTCAGGACATGAACCTCTCTGACTTGAGAATCTTCTTATTTATCTCTGTGGCAAGAGTAGTCATCTGTAGTCCACAGCATGGTCTCCCTGCAAGCTGATTTTTGGCTTAGATTTTGGCTCCTGGATTAGAGACGTTGCTCTTTTTGCAACTTGGGGACAGCTGATATCTCTGTTCCCTATTTCAGTGGCGGGACCACTGGATGCAGTGTGTGTACTTCCTGCCACAAGAAGAGCCTGTTGTCCAAGGCTCAAGCATCTACCTGGTAGTGCACCATGATGACTATTGTGTATGGTACAGCCTCCAGAGGACCAGGTATGCCCCAAGTCTTGTGGTGGGGGGAAGCACTGGGCCTGTGATACTGTGTACTTACGTAAGTTCACCTTATAAACAGTGTAGAGGCACAAGTGGGCACGCGTGTGTCTGAACAGAATTAAACAAGAGCAAGAGTTTTTGAGTAGATGTGTTAGTGCCCATTGGCATGTTCTTAGAAGAGACTGCCCTGGTTGCAGGGCCCCTGTTTGGGGGAGACATGAATGAGAAGTCTCGGGTTGGGGGACCCTCCAACCTCTAATGCCTACTTGAAAGCCAGTTCCTGGACTCATGCCCTCTAGAGGATGTGGGTGTGCCCACCATGGCTTGTTTAGTTTTAGTGGGGCCGATCCCTATGCCCATCTCTGTGCCATGCCTTCATGCTTGCCGGTGTCTAGCAGGTTATGCTCATCATGTGTGTCTATTTCCTGGCTTAGCCCTGAAAAGGACAGGAGAGTCTATCCAGCACGCCCCGTGTGTGACTGCCAAGCTCACCTGCTCTGGAACCGGCCTCGGTTTGGAGAGATCAACGATCAGGACAGAACTGATCAATACATCCAGGCTCTGCGGACAGTAAGTGTCCAGCCCCTTGGGTGGTTATAGTCAAGAAGGAGTTTGTAGCATGGGCCTCAGGTCATTGCTTGCTTATAATTTGCAGGTTTTGATTTCTGTACTACCTGGCTTTTGGGTGGGCACTCAGATAGTAGCCAGGAAGCATGTTACTAGACTTTCTGAGGGCTTGTTCTCTGCTGTCCTGTGAGAACCTCTGCCTGGGAGCCTTACCTCAGCCGTTGCCATTGTCCCTCTAGACACTTTGCCTTTGTGGTCACTAGTAGTTCCTGTGGATAATCCCAGTGGATTCAGCCACCCCATTCTTCCTTTCATCTGCTGCATTCTTTCTAAAATTTTCTAAAATATGAGTCTGGTTATGTAACTCTCCTGCCTGAAACCTTTGCTCCCTGCTGCGTGTAGCAGGAGTCTCTCAGCTCAGGACTATACAGAGGGTTTGGAGAAGTGTCTTTTGGACCTCTTGGAGTTGTATGCAGAAATATGTGTGCACATATGTACATGCATGCATTTTGGCACGAGGGAAGATCCCAGCCATCTAAAGTTTCTCTCAAAGGGATCTATGACCTATAAAGTACTCCCTGCCTTTGGCAAGTCACTCAAAAGCCCAAGCTGTCTGTTCTGTGACCAGAGAGGGAAGAGGCTTATGGTAAACTGAGAGATGGCCTCTAGCAAGTGGGGCAGGTCTTCAGGTGGGCCTTGTAGGACAGCTTGGGGATAGTCTCTCCTGACAGTGAGGTCTGGGTAGGGAGAGGTGGGTGAGGTGGTTGCACTGGAGGGTGGGGGCTGCTTACTGCCTACAAGGCAAGCACAAGTCTGGGGCTACAAGAAGATCCAGCTGGGTGTTGAGGGGTGGATTGAATGATCACAGAGTGAGTTAATGGGGCTAGGAGAAAGGAAGTGTTTCTGTCAGTTTTCCAACAAGAATTTCTTGACCTGCTATAAGAAAACGTATTGAGGTTGTTATTTTCCTGCAGGTGCTGAAGCCAGACAGTGTCTGCCTGTGTGTCAGTGACGGCAGTCTGCTCTCCTTGTTGGCCCATCACCTTGGGGCAGAGCAGGTACCAGACCGCATTCTGCCAGCTTCCTGAGGGCAGCTCTTGAGTTTGAATATCACATGGTCTGGGTACACAGTTCTGTGACTAAAGGCCTTTGCAAGTGCAGCTGCCATGCATGTGGGGGCTTTGGGGTTTATTGCCTCCGTGTGCAGACAGGAGTCAGGCTGTAGCTATTCCCATATAGCTGCAGCTCCAGTGTCTCAGTGCTCCTTGCTAGCATCAGTGCAGAAAGTGGGTGCTGTCTCAGTGGGTAGTGAGCACAGGTAGACTTGGTAGGTGGTACATTCTGCCTTGGAATTATCTTGTTGGGTTTTAACCTTTTTTTTTTTTTTTTTTTAAATTTTTTTAAACTTTTATTTAGAGGGAAAGAGAAGGGGAGGGACAGAGAGCAGGGCGGCGGGTGGGGGGACAGAGGATCCAAAGTGGGCTGTGCGCTGAACAGCAGAGAGCCTGATGTGGGGCTCGAATTCACAAACCACAAAATCGTGATCTGAGCCGAAGTTGGACACTCAACCAGCTGAGCCACCCAGGTGCCCCAGTTTTAAATCTTTAATTTCTTCTTTTTTAATGTTACTTAGAACAAGAACGAGTGGGGGAAGGGCAGAGAGAGGGGGAGACAGAGAATCCCTAGCAGACTCCATGTTCAGCTCAGACCCCCGATGCAGGGCTCGAACTCAAAACCATGAAATCATGACCTGGGCCGAAATCAGGAGTCAGATGCTTAACCAGCTGAGCCGCCCAGACGCCTGTTAATCTTTAATTTCTTTGTCAAATGAATCTCTAATAGCATCGTATTCTTTTTAGGTATTTACAGTAGAGAGCTCAGCAGCTTCTCATAGACTGATGAAAAAAGTAAGTGACTGTTGTTACTAAACTATCAGGCGGGGAGGCAGGTCAGGGGCCTGCCTTGCTGAGTGTGGGATTGATTGCTCTGATGCTGTCTTGGCAGTAAGGGAGCTGGTGAGAGTTCCCACCTTGAGAGCTGGTGTAGAAGTCTTCTGGGGCTGTCGCTGAATAGCAGCAAACATTTAGACTCTATTTTTTTATGGCTTTTCTCCTCGCTTCACATAAAACTAAAAAAGCTGCAATCTTTGCAGTGCTATAACTGAATTTATGATTTGTTTTTGGGACCCAGTGCCCAGGGAGTCAACACTCACAAGCTGACCTGACTGATTGGTTCCATGATGGTATTTCTTCCCTTGGCCATCGATTGGTTTTTATTTCCTTTCTGAAGGAAACTACCAGAACTACAAGCCTATTGCTAAGTCCTGCTGATACGTCTGTAAGAGAAATTTCTTTTGCTGGTACAACATTTTGCTTGGTGCACAGGATGCCCCTGGAGGAGAGGATTTTCACAAAGCAGATAAACGTGGTGCTTAGAACAGTTTGGCCAGAAAACTGCAAGCATACAAAACAACTTTGAGATGTTTTTTTCTGGACAAAAACAATACTTTCATTTTTTTTCCTCATAAGATTTTCAAGGCTAATCACTTGGAAGATAAAATTAATATAATAGAGAAACGGCCTGAATTGTTAACATCTGCAGACTTGGAGGGTAAAAAGGTGAGTGGCAGGGGCTCTGCATTCGCATGGACAGCACAGCACCGAGATGGCCTGAGTCCCCCTTCTCTTCTCAGGCCATACAGTGGGTCCCATACCTAACTCAGCCCCTGTGGGAATGTGGTGAGGCATTGCATAGATGTCTGGTCTGCAAATACATGAGCTACTCTGAACTCTGACCGATCTCTGCTCCTTCCGAGTGAGGACAGAATGGTTCTGTTAGGATGAATAGCCGCCTGTTGTGGCCTCTCTGCCTTATCCCTTTACAGTGCTCCAGCTCCCGTTCACTCCTGTTATTTTGGTTCACTTTTCACCGTTCTGCTTACTTCCTGCCACCTTGGCAGTTGATCTTCTGTCCCCTACGGTTGGTCTTGTCACACAATCCACCCACCACCCGTTGCTTCTAAAACTACTCCCACCCCTTAGTAATCCTGAGATGTAAACACAGTCTTCTGCTGCCTTTCCTCCCACTGGCCCCCTGGGCCCTCATGACTCAGGGGCCTCTCCCTTCTCAACACATTTCTTTTTAGGGCCTTAAGAGACTGCTTTTTCCAGGTTTTTCTCTTATTTTTCTAGCTGCTCTTCCTGAGCTTTTCATGGGTTTCTCTTCCTTCACTTGATCCTTCCATAGCAGTCTTCTGATGGTTTCTCCCTGTCTGTTCTCTCCTCTCCCTCTGTGCCTCCTCTCTCTCTCTAGGTGATCATGTCCTTTCCCATAAGGGAATCTTTGGCCTCCAAAGCTGGGTCTGCAAATCTCTCATGTCCAAGTGCCCACTGGATGCTTTCCTTGCATATCCTGCAGGCCCTTCAAGCTGGAATCCATCACCTTTCTTCACCAGCTTTTTAACAGCTTTACTGAGATGTAATTGACATACCATAAAATTAACCCATTTCAAGTGTACAGTGATTTTTTAATAAATTTTTAGAGATGTACAACTATCACACACTCTAGTTTTAGAGCATTTCCATCACCCAGCTCCTAGCCCCAGGCAAGCACTGATCTGGTTTCTTTGTATCAATTTGTCTTTTCTGGGCATTTCATATAAATGGAGTAGAACAATACATGGTTTTTAGTGTTGGGCTTCTTTCACTAGTCGCACTTTTGAGGTTCATCCGTGTTGTAGAATGTGCCAGTATTTTATTACATTTTAATCCTGAATAATATGCCATGTCACATTTTGTTTATCCATTTACCTGTTGGTGGATATTTGGATTGTTTCTTCTTCTTCTCTCTTCTCCTTCTCTCTTCTCTTTCTCTCTTCTTCTCTCTTCTTCTTTTAATGCTTGTTTATTTTTCAGACAAAGAGAGTGAGCAGGGGAGGGGCAGAGAGAGGGAGACAGAAGATCCAAAGCAGGCACTGCCCTGACAGCACAGAGCTCCATGTAGAGCTCAGACTCACAAACCACAAGATCAGGACCTAAGCTGAATTTGGACGCTTAACCATTTTTGGCTGTTAGAATAATACTGCTGTGAGCGTTGATATATGTCTTTGTGAAGATATGTGTTTTCAGTTCCCTCAAATGCTTAGGCTTAGAATTGCTGGGTTGTGTAGTATTTTTGTTTAACTTTTTAAGGTACTTCTAAACTGTCCAGAGAAGCCATACCATTCCACATCCCCCTTACACACGAAGGTTCCAGTTTCTCTGTATCTTTACCAGCACTTGGTATTGTCTTTTTTATTACAGTCATTTTCACGAGTGTGAGTTTTAATTTGTATTTGCCTAGTAACCACTGGTGTTGAATACGTTTCCTGTGCCCATTAATTGCTCCATGTCTAGCTAGCTGAAATCACTCTTCAGGTCTTTTGCCCATTTCTCCCTATGCCTTTTCTTTTAAGGAGAGTTTTTTTGAGATCTAATTCACATACCATACAGTTCACCCACTTAAAGTGTGAAATTCCATGATTTAGTATATTCATACAGTTGTACAATCATCACGAGTCAATTTTTAGAACATTTTTATCACCTAAAATGAAACCCATGCCCATTAGAAGTCACTTCTCATTTGCCCCCTGCCCTCCCAGCCTCTAGGGAACCACCAGTCTACTTTTTGTCTACGAATTTGCCAATTCTGGACATTTCATGTAAGTGGAATCATGGGATATGTGTGGTCTGTTTGAGACTGGCTTCTTTCAAGGTTCATCCATGTAGCATAAATCAGTACTACATTTCTTTTTACTGCTAAATAACATCCCATTTCATGGATAGGCCACATTTTGTTTATCTGTTCATTCGTTGCTGGACACTTGAGTTGTTTCTGTTTTTTGGTTGCTATAAATGATGCTGCCATGAACACTCAGTACAAGTTGCCCTTTTTTTCCTCATAGATGAGGATTAAAAACTTACTCTAGTTCTGGGGAGCCCGGGTGACTGAGTTGGTCAGCATCTGACTTCAGCTCAGGTTATGATCTTACAGTTTGTGAGTTCGAGCCCCACATTGGGCTCTGTGCTGATAGCTAGGAGCCTGGAACCTGCTTTGGATTCTCTGTCTCCTTCCATCTCTGCCCCTCCCCAGCTCACTCTCTGTCTCTCAAAAAGAAATAAATGTTAAAGAGAAAGCTACTCCACTTCTATAAGCCACTGATAATGGTGCGCTGGCTAGACTCTAGGTGACTAGTGTGGTGAATAGAAAGGGTGAGAGCAGGCATTCTTGCCTTGTTCTGATGTTGCAGGGCAGGGAACACTCAGGACCAGCTCTTTTCTGTCTTTGGTGTTTCCATCTGCATCTTTGTTACCTCAGCCAGACACCTAGATGTCATCTCAGATTGGCCCCTCCCTTGAGGTCCTTCTGCTTGGGCCCAGCCCTGGGTGCCCTGTGTCCTCCACATCTGTTGTGTCTCCCAGTCCTTCCTTCTGTACACTCCCTGCTCCTTTCCTGGACCACTGCAGTACTCACCCAAGTCCCTGTGGGTGGTCTCTCCGTATGTTTCATAGTCGTCAGAGGACTCTTTCTAAAACACATTCCTTCTCATTTTGAACCCCCAGTTAAAGCTTTTAGAGATCCCCTCTTACCATCAGGAAGGAGTCCAGCCTCCTTGACCTTTCATAAGCTGCCTTTGGGCATCCTAACTCCTTTCCACCTCTCTGGCCTCACCCTTTACCATCCTACCCTGCATACTCATGTAACAAGCTCTTGATGGGCCTTGCTCTCACACCCATGCTTATTCCCCTGCATACCTCTGCTAGAATCCCCAGTCCTTTGCTTTTCCTATTCATACATTTGTTCATTTGCTCAGCAAATATATACTAACCATCTGCTCTGAGCCAGGCACTTTGCAAAGTGCTGGGGATACTGTGCTGCCAATGTCCCCACTTCTGTGGTGCTCAGAACCTACTGAGGAAGACTGCTAGAGGAGCACTGATAACAGTTTGTTATGATAAGCTGAATGGGAATCTACCCACAGGATGCCATTCAGGAAGATGTTATCTACACTGGCCCTTCCCATGAAGGGCCCAACCCTGGGGTCCCTCCACATGTCCCTTCCTCACTTCTGTCAAACCACACTGTTCAAGGATAACCCCAGCCCTGTCTGTTCCCTCTTCTACTCTGCACTCCTGAGGACAGGGCTCATGTCTGCTCATCTTCAGGCAGGTGCAGACCTGGCATGCTTGTTGGTTGAGGGAATGGATGCCCTTTTATTTCCATGTTTCCCATGAACCTTGTGACCTGTCCTTCACCCTTTAGCAAAATCGTTCTGACATCTTGGCCCCCCTTCTTGCTCTGATTGCCAGATCTCTCTCCTCCTGGGTGAACCATTCTTCACTACCAGCCTGCTGCCCTGGCACAACCTGTACTTCTGGTATGTGCGGACTGCCGTGGACCAGCATCTGGGGCCTGGTGCTGTGGTGATGCCCCAGACTGCCTCGCTGCACACTGTGGTCGTGGAGTTCAGGGTAGGCCCCTCAGAAGTTGTTGCAGAAAGGGCAGGGGCTGGGGGTCTTTATTTTCTTGCAGAGACCTTGGGTGCAGATAGAGCAATGTGAGTCTTAATGATATGGGCCTCTGCTTTTCTGTATCAGCACACTGCAGGGTTGAATGGAAGAGACTTGCCTTTGTACAAATGCGGTAATTTGGCATGTGAAATGGAAATGGCTGTGTGCTGTCATTTTACAATTATCCCTTATCAGAATAATTAAAAAAAACATAAATGAAGAGTTTCAGAAGACATGCTGTGCAGCTCACTCTGTTCTTATTAAAAGTTGACGCTCCAGTTGTTAAAAGCATTTTGAGATGGAAAGTCAGCTTCTTTATGTAACAAAAAATTGAAAAACTTTATTTTAATTTCCTCATCAAAGCAGAACCAGTCACAAAGTCATTTTGGGAAAGACGTTTCTTCTTAAAAGGATTTTGAAATGCTTTCAACCTGAGAAGTAGAGTGAACCTCATTTGATATTTCTTTGATAAGAACGGCTTCACCCATTGGTAGCTTAGTGTCTCCATCAGTGATTATCTGGGCATTTCTTCTGTGTTGTCTATTTACCTGGCGAGATTTCCACGGGAGTTCTGGCTTTCTTGGCCCAGGAGGGAATGTGGGAATGATGCTCATTCCCAGACATATATCCAGGAAACAGGACACAAAATTGGCTAGCCTCAGTGCGCTTCTGGTCCCTTCTCTCCCAATGTCCTCACATCCTGTTTATAGGCACAGAGCCTCAGGAACTGGTTTACAGATTTCTTCCCAAAGAAACCCCATCCCAGTGGCTCTGGTTGATTGTCCCCTGTAGGAGAGGACTTGATCATGTGACACTTTGCAGATTTCAGTAACCTTCCCAGATCCTTGGTGTTTCTGAGGCCTTTCAATCATGGGGTCTCTTCCAAGTGTGTGGGAATAGCAAGGGGTGCCTTTTTGGGGCTGTCCCCTTCCCCCCAACCTGACCTCACTGACTCTTCTCGCTCTTGTCACCATGCTTTCATGTCTCTGGGTGGGTGTGGATGTCTGTGTGCTGTCCTACCGAACCTGTGACGTCCATCCCCAACTGGGTGTCGACAAGGGCTCTGCCTTCCTCACAGGACCTATGGCGGATCCGGAGTCCCTGTGGTGACTGCGAAGGCTTTGACGTACACATCATGGATGACATGATTCAGGTAGGTGGGGCACAGTTCCTGCCTGTAGTGTCCCACCCACCTACTCCATGTGCACAGTTTCCTACCCCTCCCACTTGGCTTTCCTTTACCCAGTCCAGGTGAACCTATTGATCCTGAGTCTGGCCCCATATGTCACCCCATCCATCACCCCTGCCACTTGGTCTGTGCCCTGCGCCCTCTCACTCCTTGGCTTTATACATTCTTCTTTCTACCAACTCCTGTGTGACCTTCAGGTAGCTGCTCAGAGATCACATGTGGGTCAGCTTTCCTGCCCAACCCCATTCTCAGCCAGACACTGATGTGTCCAGGCACTGTGATTCCCTGTCTCCCTCTAGACTGGGAGCCTCATGTAGGAGTGATCTGGCAGCTGTAGTGCTCAGTAATGGTCACTGAATGGGCAAGTGTCCAAGTGCCAGATGTTTTTACCACTGTTGACGTTTGGTCCTCAAAGTAGCTCATGAGACAGGCAGCGTCATCCCATTTTAAAAAGGGAAAAAATGAGGCTCAGGTGAAGTAACTCTCTGAGAAGACACTTGTGCATGGCAGCTGAGAGTAGAGAAGGCAGCTGGTTTGATCCCAGTGTGTGTGGTCTTTCTGTGAGGACCCACTGAGGCATCTGACTGTGGCAGTTACCTTGAGGGACCTGGGCCAAGGAGGTAAAGGACCACTGGTATAGACCATGGAGACTGGACAAGAGCCCCTTATCTCCTAGGCCACTGGCTCTGGTTCTGTCTCTGTCTCTGCCCACTGCCACCTCCCCTTCCCTTCTCAGCGTGCCCTGGACTTCAGGGAGAGCAAGGAGGCCGAACCCCACCCTCTGTGGGAGTACCCATGCCGCTGTCTGTCTGAGCCCCAGCAGATCCTGACCTTTGATTTTCGGCAGCCAGTACCCCCACACCTGATCCATGCTGAGGGCTCCATTGAGCTGAGGAGGTAAGAACGGGTTCCAGGGTGCAGTAAGCTGGGGAAGGGAGTGGTAGGGCCTGCTTTCTGTCTAGTTACTGCCTGGGTGACTAAGCACTTACTTTGGCCATTTTCATGTGGGTGGCATGGCCTCCTTTTTTGGGCCTTGCCCTTCCTGGTCCAAAGTGGCCCTGAGTGTATAGTGGGTCCCCACTGCCTCTGGGTGTGTACAGGTGGGGAGGGAGAGCCAGAGTGGGCTTTGCACATCCCCCCACACCTGCAGCTTCCTTTGAGCTAAGTGTCATGATGGATCACAGCTATAGAGAAAAGTGATTTTTGTTGCTATGGTTACCCAGTGGGCCATTTTCCTGAACCCTGCTGGGAATTAAGCAGGTTAGGAATTGGTAAGGGCTACTCATCGTGAGGCACAGTTGGGCCATCCTGCTCCACCTCCCTTCCCAGGGAGGAGCTGCTGCTTCCCTGAGGAAAAACCCCTGTCCCATGGTTCCTCTAAGTGCTTGGCCAGGTTGCAGGGAGCAGGTGGGGCTCTGGGTTGTGGTTTTTGCTCAGCATTTTACCAAGTGGCCTTTAGTCAGGTGGAATGTTAGCAGCCTCCTGATTGGGGAGGAAGGTAAGATCAGAGGTTTCTGGAAAGCGGTGAGGAACCGTGGCTGTGCCTGCCCATCTCTTGTGTGGCTGTTTGTCTTTGGCCCAACATCCCCACCTCCAGGCCTGGGAGGAGCCATGGGGCCGTCCTGTGGATGGAATACCACCTCACGCCGGACAGCACTGTCAGCACTGGCCTCCTGAAGTCTGCAGAGGACAAGGTAGTGCTGTGCACGTGAGTCCCAGAACAGGCCCACCCTGTGAGCTGGTTACAAGTTAGCCGGATTGTAACTCTTCAGTGGCCCCAGGTCACCTGGTTCTGACCAGCTTCTCACTGCGAGTTGCTTGGGCTGGAGGCTGGCCAGGAGGGGGCTTGGGTGCTAGTAGCCCTCACTGTCTTCTCGCTGCTTCTACAGGGGGACTGTTGCTGGAACCCCCACTGCAAGCAGGCAGTGTACTTCTTCACCACGGCGGACCCCAGAGCGCCGCTGGGCGGCCCTCAGACTGTCAGTTACACCGTGGATTTCCACCCCCACACTGGAGACATCACCATGGATTTCTCACTCTCAGACACCCTGGACGATGGGCAGTGACCCTCACCTGTTTAGAAATAAAGTGGCCTGAGGGCTCTGGGCTCTGACTGGCGTGGCTTTCTAGGAGGGAAGGTGAAGGCACTTCTCTTTTCAGGGCCCAGCTTGGCCTCCAGGCTCAAAGCCCTCTTCCCTCTTTGTGTTTTTGCTCTGCCAGTTCCTTATTTTGGGTGTGATGGGCGACATAAACTGCTGACGGAATTTGGAGCTGAGGAGGGGCCAGGGAGCCCCCCTGCCATGGTTCTAAAATGCTTAGAAAGCTCTAGTGTGGCGTTTCCCTCTACCATCCTGGGAGCTGGCTGGGCCAGGCAAGTTATGTGCTGCTCTCAGCTGTGCAGTGCTGCGGTAGGTGTGCTGCCCCTCTGTGAGCCGCTGGCCTGTACTGGGGAACCTTGGGGTCCCTCCTGCCTGATTCCAGCTAGGAGGGGCTTCTGGGGTGGAGATGCTGACTTGTGGCTCAGTCCTGGGCCTGAAAGACCCTGACAGGGCCATCTTTTTCATCTCTTGGGTAATGTTACCAAGGCACATCCATAAGCATCTGCCATTGGTGTTGCAGCATCAGCAGGTACCCAAGACTGACACCTGGTTTCAGGCTACTGTTCAGAGGACAGGGAAGAGGCTGTCTCATAGCAGTTCCTGAGATGCAGACCAGGAAACCAGCCATCAGGAGGGGGAACCAGGAGGTAAACCTTTTCCTGTGTGCCCCCATTCCACCTTGGAAGTCTGAGGCAGGTGGGTGCCATGCAGCCACCCCACCCTAGCCTGGGCCTTGCTTTGCTAGGGAAGGCTGTAGAATCCTGAGGAGGCCCCAGCCATGCTTCTCCCTATGTTCAAGGTGTCCTTCACTGTTTATTCCCACTTCCAGAGGGAACAGGGAGACAGTAGGAACCCAGGTGGCCCAGTTTTCTGGCAGTTCAGGGCAGACTTGGCCTATTCCCATCCTGTTGGGGAGGAGGCAGGAAAGGTGGGCCCCCCCCACCAAGCCTGGCCCCAGCTTGTCGCTCAAATAAGAGAATACCAGCCTTGAGCCTCACAGTTTTATTTTATCCTTGTTATCCATCTTTCTGTTCAGCACCAGTAAAGGGGAAAAACACCTCTCTTTTCAAAATATTTTATCAGGTGTAAAGATTGTTTTTCTTCTAGGGAAGAATCGTCTGGATATATATTTGATAATAATTTTACCAAAACCTTAGGTGTGCTTACCATATAAAACCCCTAATGTCCCATGAGGATACAATACAGAAAAAAATACAGAAATTAAAAAATTTTGTTTTTTTTTAAAACAGTATTTCTAAATCTCAGCAAGTTAATACAGTAGTTAAAAAGCATCAAGGTTAATATTCATACTTAAAACTCAAGGTGGTTTGGACAAATGGAAATGACTGTTTCCTTCTAAAGCTGACCCCTGCCTCCTGGCTTCTCTGGAGGAGGCTGGGCCTGGAGTGGGCATGGGGGCCTCAGTTGGGGATTTGAGTGACCCCTGTGTCCACCCCTCCTAGGCCTAGATGCTACAGAATCTGAGATTCTGGTAGTGTTTTCTTTGTTTTTTAAAAATCAAAATGGAAAAGTCTGGCTTGTGCATGGCCCTAGGAGTCCACAGCCTTGATGAAACATGTGGTTGGGCAGTGGCGTCCTCGATGCTGAAGCTGCGCCAGAGGGAAGTGCAAGGGGAGCTGGGACACAGGCTGGTCCGGCTCCAGATACTAGGGCCAGGCTGGGCAGAGGTGACCTTGTTAGGACAGGAAGTGACCGAGGCACAGGGAGGTATGACTTGCCTAAGGCCGCCCTGTGAGTAGGGAGAGAAGCATGTACCCCTGTGCTGTGGCTCCCGTAGAGCTGCCCTGGGAGGGAGGTGACTCCTCGGAGGGATGCAGGCTGGGCCCGGAGTTTCTCTGCTTCAGGAACCCTGGCCTCTGTCCCTGCTGCTCTCCTGGACACACATCCAACTTGAAGCCTGGGGCCTTTGCTCAGTCCCAGCCATCCAGGCGTTGAGTGTGTTTAGTTGGGCCCCACCTGTGTGAGCAGAGATTCCTGGCTGCTCCTGGGAGTGGGGGCCCCATTTGGCTTAGCCAAGGCCCTGAAGGCCAGGCCCTTAGGCACAGCAGAGAGCCCAGGTGGGGTTGTGCCTTCAGTGGTGAGCAGCCCCTCCTGGCTCTGGACTCAGGGTGGGGCTGGGGGCTTGGTCAGTCAATGCTCCTGGCAACAAAGCCGGCAGCCCACTGCCCCAAACAAACCAGTGCCTCCGTGTGTATGGTTCTCAAGAGTGTCCTCCCCCAGCACAGGGCCTGCCCCTGACTGGCTGCTTGGCCCCATCTTGGTCCCTCTTGCAGCTCAACTGGGTGACAAGGCACTGCATCAGCGTGCCAGCACCAGGAGGAGGCTTCTGGCAGAAAGATCCTGGTGCATTCCCCAGCCTTGATAGGCAGAGCTGGCTCTGAGCCAGGTGGGCACAAGGTCAGGGCACTTCAAGGAGGGGAGATCAGTGGGGAGTTGTCAAGAACAGTCTGAGTTGGAGGGTCCTTGCATGGGAAAACAGACAACCCTCCCTCGTGTGACTGGGGAGTATCTCCGGGCATGTTTAAAAAATCAGGTAGGCAGAGGCAGAGCTGCCGTGGAGTGGGGAGCTGTGGACTTCACCTGCAGGCTTTGCCATGCCCTGCCCAGGTCACACGGTGGCAGAATGGGTGTCTACTGGCCTGGATGCCAACCAGTACCACTCCATGCCCCAGGCAAGCGGTGGCCCCTGGCCTTCACAAACCCCAGCCTACACACTGGTAATGGTGAGGGGACATGCCTTTCTGCACCTTGGCTTCCTGTCCCTTCATCCAGGGCCCTGGGTCACTCTTGAGGATGGGGCTGGGAGGACAGAGCTGCAGCCCCACCCAGAGGCAGGCAGACAGTTCCTGAGCTCAGCCAGGGAAAGATTGGTCCCAAAGCAGAGAGGTGTCCAGAAGGGAAATGGGATCAGGCAGAAAGGAGGGCATGTGTTGGTTTTGACAGAAGAGAAGCTATAAATCTATCATTTGGAAAACCTGAAGTTCCCTGACCCCTTTATGTCATGAGTTCCCCTTCTTCCTATAAAAAAGTGATGCTCTCTCCTCAGATTCCCTTTGCCCACTTTGAAGTCTCTCAGGGGAGACTCAGGGGCCCTGATTGGCTGGGAGAGAGGAGCCTGAGCAGTGTTCTCCCTCACGGTCTGCAGACCTTCTGAAGTGAAGGGTTTTCTTAACTTTTTCTGTTTATCTTTTTAAAATAATCGCCCTTGAATGCAAGACCCTGGGAAGAGCCCGGGCTTGCTGGTAACTGGACACGGCCCTCATGGTCCCTGCTCATTAGCCGTCCGGCCTGGAGGCGGGAGCTGGCGGCCCTATGCCCAGGAATGCTTCTTTGGCTGGTTCTGATTGTGTTTGGAGTTTGGCCTTGGGTGAGGCCCGAGTGAGGGGTCTGTGTGGCTACGGTGTGGCACGTGACATGCGGGCAGCGTGCATGCGAGGGTGCAGGCATGCGAGACAACATGGCAGCAGACAAAAATAATGAACCCTGGACGAAGCTTGAGAAGAGATACAAAGAGTACAGAAACCCGGTTCTCATACTAACCCCCGGGTTACAAACTAGGTTGTGCTGTAGATTTGTAGAAAATCACGTTTTGAAAGAATGGCACTGTTGGGCAGCTGTGGCTCCCAAGACCAGCCTGACCCTTCTGTCCACAGTGAGTGCCCAGAGGTGCAGGGCAGCGCTGGTTCCAGCTCACCTGGGACTAACCAAGTCTCCCCTCAGGTCTCTGCCCTCCTCCCCCAGCACCGCTGGTGCTCGCTGGAGGGGACATGGCCAGAGGTGCTGCGGCTCAAAGGGTTGGCAGAGGCCCCACTGCTCTGAATGACGTGGCTGGTCTATGCCTCCTCCTCCCCTGCAGACACCATTAGCCGCATGGCCACTGGGAGATGGTCGGTCAGGCCAGACAGCTGGGTGATAAAACTGAATTCTTCTACCTCCTGTTGGGAAGAAGGGCATTAGATCCAGAGGGCATCCTACACAGGAGGGGCCTGGAGGGCAGGGGTGGGGCTTCTGGGCAGAGGCGGGGGCTGGGTCTAGCCAGGATCTTCCCGGAGGCAGAGGAATGGGAGCATCCCATGGGCCCCAAGGACTCTGAGACTGAGAGATCTCGTTTTCAGAGAAGAGCTCAGTGCTGCTGAGGGGTACAGGGCACGGGATCCCCTATCTATAGGCATTGCCTGGCCCACTCGACTCACAGCCTTCCAGTCCGGGCACAGCCCCTCCTCTGCGTACAGCATGTAGTCGATGCGTCTGCCGTTGCCCTTCAGCAGGTCCTTGCGTCCCTTCTGGCCTGCCCCGGGGCTCTTGCTGGTGGGGAAAGCCAGGTACTCCCTGCGGCCTTCCTCAGTCTCCAAGACCCTGCTCGACAGACAGGAAGGACAGGAAGCAAGGTGAGCCCCTGCCCCATTCTCCAGACCCCAGATCCTGAGTGTGGAATCATGTTCTAGTCCCTAAGTGGGAGAGATGCAGGTCAGACCAAACCCTGCGTTTAAGATCTATTTTCCCTGGGGACCCAAAAAAAGGGGACTAGGGTGGAGGGAAACCCAGTCTGACCCTGTGAGTTCCTGACTGAGCCATGCCACTCCAGAGTCTGTCCATGTCCACCTTGGGCTTGGCTGTGGCTGAAGTTTGGACATAGTACTGCCCAGAGCCTGGGGTGCTGAGTTGGGAACAGAAGTGCTCACCCCTCTCTGCACACAGGGCTTTGCTTAGAGCCAGTGGTGGGGGGTGGGGGTGGGGTGGGGAAGGGTCTTTGCAGTGAACCTCAGGGACCCTTCTCTCCTATAGGTCCTCAGAACCACCCACCCCACCCTCCGTGACTGTTGTTTCAAGTCAGCAGGGGTGAGGGAGCCAGGAGAGCACCCAGGCCCTATCCTGGGCCTGGACTCTTGTGTTGGTTTCTCTCTGAGCAGCTGTGCCACCAAACCCCTGAGCTTTCCTCTGACACAAGGATGATTGATTGCTGTGGGCCCCAAGACATTTGGGGGACCAGGAA